CAAAATGTGGGTGTATCTCGTATGGCAACCGCTTGTTTAGTTGTTTTAATAAATAAATTCTTGTTAATTGACCTTAAGTAATCAGTTCAGTAGTTGACAGATAGAAATTTAATACACGATTCTGCTAACTCATTCAAAACATTTAAACTACATGTAGCTAAAGTACTTCCATTTTACTTCATAGCCTTTCCAAAATAAATAAAGGTATGGTACATGTAGTTTTTAATTGCTGGTTTAAATGCTTGTTCAAAGTCTGAAATTCTATAACTAACAGTAATAAGCAGGTTGAATTTTCATAGGTACATCTAACTAAGGTTAATGAATTGTGAATATTTTTGAAAATTAATTACAATTATTTTCATGGGGAAAGTGATAATGCCCTTTTAAAATTTCATTAATATCCATTACAATTTGGAGTGTAACCATTTATCAATATATTAAATATTGAAATATAATCTGTCAAGTACATCTAGTATAGACTATCACTACATAAATATTTAATCAACTTTAAATTTTAATCTTTATTCATTCATTCATTGAAATATAATCTGTCAAGTACATCTAGTATAGACTATCACTACATAAATATTTAATCAACTTTAAATTTTAATCTTTATTCATTCATTCAGTTTTAAAGGCACACTTTCAGATTAATGTACACACACATTAAAAAGTGGTCTTTTCAAAAGGCATGTTGGTAAAAAATTTTATTAAAATTGATCGGTTCTAATGTAAGTTATGGCTATCTCACTTTTTTTTATGATGTCATCATTTTCTGTCGTAAAATGTTGTCTAGCTATTGTAGAATAACTTGTTTCTATCTATGAATATCAGGCTCAAAATGGCATCTAACCTATATGTAGCTAGGGTTTTTTATTTCAATCGTCTAAATTACATGTACATAGCATGAAAAAGATTGAACAAAATTGGACTTATCTTATATTTAGAAGACCAAGTGGTCTAATGTGTGAACTATAAATCAGAAGGTCTGTTATGAATGCAAATCATGGGGTTTATGCCATGTTTGTAAATGACAAAATAAAGCGAACTATTGAAAATAAAATATACCATGTTTGACCAAAAATGATTTTGGTTATGTCAAGTGGAAATTAAACCCAATTACCAGTTCAGTATGTAGGTAGTGGTGCTTGAAAGTTTGTCAGGTACATGTACAACTAAAATATATAGCAATACTATAATACAGCTCGGTGTAGGCCATATTATAATATAGATAAACATATCTATAATATTGGTTGGCTTCATCCATCACAATATGACATTGCATGTAACTGTCACTCAACAAATATCTCAAATAACTTCCATGCAACCTTACATCTTAATTATATATACTTAAAGTGGCTATCTTTTTAATTTGAATGTCAAATTGTAAAAATTAACATTGAAAGTACATGACAGAATAACTGCTTAAAGTAACCCGCTATGAATAATTTTTGAACAACACTATTAATATATAAGTGTGTCATAGATATTTGCTATGGTTATCTATGATATCAGTTATATCTTTTTATTATTCATTACATGAAGAAGAACATGTGCATTAAAAATATTCTTCTGTAACCCACAAATTTCAACTGTCAACTTAATTGTCTTTTCAACAAACTTGTCTTTCACATGTGGCTCAAAACTCAAACTGACTTATAAATTAAGACAGACACACCCTTATGCATTTGTCAACTGACACTTGGCATACATTTATGTAGGTTTTTTTTTTTCACTTTCATAGGAGCATGTATGTGTGTCATGCTTTTGACTCTTTCAGGGACACCTGATATATTGGGCTGTATTTATTATTCTGATCGATTCCATTTTGATAGATTCCATTTTGATAGATTCCATTTTGATAGATTCCATTTTGATAGATTCCATTTTGAAACTCTGATACTTTGGTCTATATTTATTATTCTGATCAATTCCATTTTGCAAGTCCACTCACTACCCATGGCCATAAGGGTACTATTCCTACAGAATTTGTATCGCCACTGATGTGTGGGAGTGGGAGTGTGGAGTGGTCCAAAGTGTGCTCTGTAGATCACTAGGTCTGTATTGATGTACATGTTAGTGTGAGGAATTTGATCGTGTATTTATACTTTAAAGAGAGTATTGTCGTCTGTCTGACCTCAGGGATTTTCACCAGGGTTCCCAGTTCCTTCTATGAAAGGACATTGTTCAAAAGAAATCATCCAAATATAATTTATTTATCATGTTATTCCCAGAATGACCTAGTTTATGTTGAATGAATGGTGAACCTCAATTCTACCCCATAGTGCCACTTTAACAAATTTACATTCTGTTATAAATGTTTTATTGTCACAGTCTAATGCTCAGCAAACAGGACATAGAAATGTATTAATATAAAAAAAACTTGATTACAGAACATCAAGTGTATGAATTGCTCAAATAATGTGAATTCCTGTTACAAATAGGAGAGTTATACTATAGGATTACTGAAGTAAACTGAATTGGTACACATGTATTACTGACACATAATAATAATAATAATGTTAGAATTGCTTACATTTTGACAGGTAAATTGTTTGTATTTTCCTTGTATATAATGTTGCAATTGTAAGCTATTTGAGGGGTACATGTAACTGTATTTTGGACCACTATGCGTTTTAATTGTTTACATTTTGACAGGTAAATTGTATATATTTTTCTTTGTATATATATGATGTTGCAATTGTAAGCTACATGTATGTGACAGGTAACTGTAATTCAGATAGGTGTTTTAATTAATTACATTTTGACAGGTTAATTGTTTGTAGTTTTCTGTTATAACTTACATGTACTTAAATGTACTACATGTATGTAACTTTATTTTGGACAAGTAGTTGCAAACATTCTAAAAATTTGTGAACATTCAAATATGACTTTCAAGTTTGTTCCAACACAGTTTCTTACCATGTATTTTCTACATGTTCATCAATCAGAGGTCAATTCATCAAATTTATATTTATTCTTGTAGTTTGATTAAATGCAATATTGAAATATACACAACACTATATACATGTATTTTATTATGGGAACATAAAAGGTACATTTGAAGGACACACTGCTAAAAAGATGTGAGACATTTATAGACATTTTCGGCAACCTTTAAAGAGATTGTACTTTGTACATGTACTATGTACTTGTTTTTTTCTTTCTTTTTTTTCTGTATAGATTAAAAATCCAAATATAGACTCAAAATGATGTGTCAAAATTAATTTTAATCCAGATAAAATATTAACAATATAATTATTTAATTGTGTAGACAAATAAACTTAAAGCTAAAAAGTATGACTGGTTATTTTAATATAATTAAGAAGATTAGTACAAAAAAATGTATGTTAAAAGAGCTAAATCACTATTCGTTGGCAATTAGAAATGGACACAAATGGGTCGCAGCACATATAATAATGTAATATGAATGTATATTATAAACTGATTTATAGTTCAAAATTTCGTTTTACTTGTCTTTACTACAGTTGGATCTGGAAGAGTTGTTATTTAACTCGTGTTCTGAATGGTGTCGGGGATAAGCCAATGAAACGGTCTGTTACTGCGAGCCTTAGGCGTGTTTTCACGGAACTGTGGGTAATCCACTAGTAACATCAATGCCGATTGGTTAATCAAATGTCTGACGTCATAGGTCATAAGTCGGTCTTTAGACCCCTGACGTGACCTATGGCTATAACTTGTCAGATCTTCATGTAGTGTAGGCCATCAAAAGTATAAAAAAACGAAACTAAATATAGATCTGTATTTTAATCAGATTCGTCGAAATGTATCCGAACGTATCTTCACGTACAAGATCGTAGACTCAATAGGGACAATCAAATCGTAAAGCATCGCTGACTGCCTGTATATATATCCACCATTGTATTGTAAACATAAGATTTAACTATTTTATATAGGCTGCCTGTTGTTCAATCCAATTCAGTTTATTGAATAAAATATTGTTTAAACTAATGACAGTGGGAACCTAGCATTAAATATTGAATATCAGAAACCCATATTTTCACGGTAAGATAACAGCATCAATGTTGATTTAAATTGAGTTTTGCAATGTCGAAGATTGTGGATGATATTGAGTTAGCGACTTGCCTCCCTTAAAACATCTAATCATAACTACAATGTAAAAAACAGATTGGCAAATTAAAATTAGACATCTGAATCAAATAATTTATATGCTTTGAGTGGAGAGGTTTAAATATATTGGGGTGTAATTTCTCTGTGATCATGTGCTTCTGTTTTGACGGTGCTCATGTTTAGAATATTTGAGGTTTAGGGTGTCCATTTAAAGAACTTATCTATTAATTATTCAGTTGGTGTAAATTACATCGTGAATGGTTTAGGGACTTTAATATTTTAGACTTAATAAAGTAAAAGGCAAATATATTTATACTTTCAGACCATGTTTATATTGTTCCAAATCAATTATTAAAAATCGATCAAACATATGTTATGGCCATCTATATAGCTGTCAAAAAAGATTTTGAATTTTTACAACTGAGTGATAAGCAAGGTGTATAGAACAAAACTTTATATATTTCATACAAGTTCTCTGTAAAACCTTCAAGGATAATATAATATTTGAGCTGTGTGGAAAAGTCTTAAACTTTGACAAAACAAATGTGAAATTTTTAGATACATGTGTATTTAGCTTGGGATTAACTTTTGACATTTAGATTTACATGTACTGTTTACAATTCATTGTTCCATTTTTATGTTTTTGTCAGATTTCCTTTTTTCTATTTATTAGCAGATTAAATCTAAGTATAGTTGATTTTTACAAGCGGCATGTATTGGCAGATTAGGTCTACGTATACCATAGTAGGTTTTTATATTCCTACTACTAATTTGAATGGAAAGATATTTGACATGGGAAATGTTTGAGACACCTAACACAGTGCATGCCAAAGATTACTAAAATAATTTGGAATTTATTTTATAACCTGAATAAGACCACATTTTATTAAGATATTTCTCTATTACAGAGTGAACAGAATGAATAACTAGAAGTGGATGCAGAAAACTCCAATGTTCGACATTTTATTACAACGAATAATCTGTCATGTGACTCTCAGGTAGGCTTTCAAAAGTGAACCAATCAAAATAAAATTTCTGCTCACTAATAATACATTCGAAGACCAAAAGTTATTATATGAGACTGTGAGAGGATATCTGACAATTCAAAACAGAAATTGACTGTCACTAGAAAAGAGAAAATGAAAGTCTGTGCATTACCATGTTTTTATCAAGTATAGGATGAATAAAAACAAGTGAATGTACAGACTATTTCTATTTTATCATGTTCTTTTATCTAGTGACAGTCAATTTCTGTTTTGAATTGTCAGATATCCTCTTACATTCTCATATACATGTAACAACTTTTGGTCTTCGAAGGAATCATTAGTGAGCAGAAATTTGCCCGTTTATCTGTTATCACTCATCACTTAAGTCAGTTATATATATATAGGATAACTCGTGTTTTCCTTTTGCGTTCGTCATTTCCTTTTGTTGAAACCTTGATTACGCATCTATCGTAGCAATGATCTATTAAAGTTGCTAGTGATTGTTATCCATAAAGTTGTGTTGTATTTTTTCAATGTTAGTCCTATCACTAAATGCCTTATAAACAATAAATGATCTATGTGTTGAAATTATATTTGGAACATGTTAAAACAGTTCTATCACATATGTGATGATGACTGACACCAATATTGTCCTTTAAAATGTTTTTGGATGTACGTTAGAGTCAGTATTTGATTAATCATTGTAATACATCAGCCCATATATATGATCTGCTTTGATTACCAACAGAATCGTAGCTGAACATAGCATCCTCTGAAAGGAGAGGGTGTGGCTGTTGAAAATAATTTTGAACAGTTCAGTGGAATACAGTAATCGAACATGTGATACGCAGGACACAATTCTAAGGGAAACACTTTTACTGTTTTATAATTGAACAATGTTTTCACTAGTTAGGATTCTCTGAGTTGCTTTATAGAGACTATACAGTAGTTTCGTTGTAAAAACTCCCTTTAGTAATTATATAAACAGTCATTGGATTTTGATAGAAATGTGCCCTGTACTCCTGTGGATTTCAAACTTTTCTAAGAATTAAGCTTATACTAAGGTTTTGAATTTTTGAACCTTTTTTTTCATCCTTAGAAACTATGAGTTCAATTGATGACCCCAGTATAAAATGGGGAAGAAGGTTGCTTTCCATGGTAACAGAAAATCAAGATGGCGGTGATGTTTTATCAGTGGGTGTGGTAGTAGGAATAGCTGCAACAATCTCATTAGTTGTTATCATCGTATTGTGTGTATGTGGTGACAGGTAAGTCATGTTTTAAATCATCTGGCAATTATCTTCTTAATTACTTAGTGACCAAAATAAGCAAAAATTGTAAGATTAAATTTTCTTACAAGAAATAAATGAATTGAAGTGAATTTAATAGCTCACTTTTGCTCGTAATGTGATAAGAGAGATATTTTACCCCAAAAACTGGACTATTCTTATCTAGATTTACTTTTGTCAAGCACTCGTTTTAACTTGCCATGCCGCCAATGGTACATGTATTCATGTATACCCAGGACCACATGTTTTTGTTGCCCATCCAAATGGCTAGATATTGTTCCTTCCTAGACCCTATGTCCTGCAGCACTGACAAGGGGAATACAGGTTAGAAAATCATGAGAAATTTTCTCGGCCAACACCAGAATCCAACCCGAGACCTCCTGGTTAGTGAGCCAGCATTTTCTCTCTGATCCATCATGGTAGCCTACCTTACAGAAAAAGGCAGATCAAATGAACTACCTTACATAAAAATTCAACATTAATTTATGTTTGCCATTTAACAATGATGAGTGCTATGGCTTAACTATATTTGCTTGTCAAAGATAAAACAAAATTTAATTTCCTTTTATATAACTAGATTTTTAATTTCCTGGTTATAGTACATTATTTCTGACCGAGTATTTGAGAGGTTTATTAGAAAATTGTTATCACAAGGTCTTCAAGTGTAGGACATATTTGAATGTAAAACAACAGGAAATATAAATGAATTTTTTTTTTTTTGACAGTAATGGTGAGGCTGAGTTGAAGAAAGTAAAGACAAAGTCAAGTAGTAATAATATCAGACAATCGGTAATAATACTTATTTCATTTAGCTTCAATAGTCACTTTGTTTAATTACTCTTGTCTTAGGATACATTCTTACCTGTGATATTTTTACCTGTCTTGAGAGGACATTTCTGCTACATTTATTTTACCATTCACTCATTTACCGGTTCCCAAATTTACAGCTGGGTAGACTAAAATACAGCCAATTTTAGGACTGTCGGAGTGACGATTGCACTTAAACTATGTCCTGGGGACAGCTAGATGTACCCAGCTGTGTCATGTCCCCCTGTATATACATGTAGATCAAATTTTCACACCAAAATTGGCATAACGAGCAGTGCACAGAATCCATGAAAGCTACATGTATTGATCTTGCATCCATCAAAAATTCTACTCATTTGGTTTCCTGCAATGTGGTTGCTTCAATTAAAAGTTAAGAGTCAAGCAAAGAGATTGAAATTAACGTTAAAATATGCAATTAAATCACATTTGAATATTTATGCTATGATTTGGGGCCCGGGCGAAGCCACACACTTCGTCGCCGTGATCAAATTAACCAGCATTAACCCGTGGATGTTTCAGGCCATGATTCAGTTTAATATGGTATCCTACTAGTTTATAAGAAAATTTTATATTTATTTTATCCAGGATAATCGTTATGATGAAGTACAAATTGAGGAAGTTGAAATCCGACCTAAAAATGGTATTATAGAATCTAATGGTGTTACTACTGACCCCAATCACCTTCAACAAGCAAGGTATGAAATATTATGATGTTGGTGAGGTTGACCCAAAGTCTTCTGTCCAGTGTGCTAATATGGCATTTCTGAAATATGCATTATCACTTTGAACAAAAAAATAACTGTACTGAGCATTTATAATCCAAATCAAGTATTTTAGACTTTTTGTCAGGCATCATCCTTAGATGTGTCAAAGCAGCGCATTATACAAAATTTTGAAATGCAGGACAATCTTGTTTTGTGAGTGTTATCACACACGAGACGTGAGTAACTACTTGCATGCACACAACACTCATGCCAATTTTAGAAAGATATTTTAAGAAATAGTGGGGGTTGGATGGCCGAATGATTAGCACGCGCGCTGTATCATACGGTCTGCCATTGAGTCAACTGGCGGGGTTTCGATTCCCTGGTTGTACGTGACAAGGAGTAGAATCGCCTGTCCAACCTCGTGGGTTTTCTCCGGGTCCTCTGGTTTCCTCCCACTGCTAAAGACCCCTACGCACAAGCGAAGTATTGAAATAAAAAAATTAATTAAATGACCTAGTTTGTGTTGAGTGGACGTTAAACCCCATTTCTCTCTCTCTCTCTTTAAGAAATAGTGGCATATATCATACTAGAAATTTTGCCTGGACTGCATGATTCACACCTACCTTTTCATCGAATTCTTGTCATGGTTTTTATATGTAACTTAGGCACAAGACCTCAGTTTGTAATCCCATCCGAACAACTAGACACTGTTCTGTGATGGCAAAATGAAACAGCTCTTTTTTGCTTTTTTGATTGGATATATGTATTCCATTTGTTATTCCATTTATTATTGCAGGCAAAGTCAAGCCAGTTCCTGCTCTTCACAGATGCGACCCACTAGCCTGAGAGAACTGCCAGAGTTACCTCCCTCTTATTCAGGAGATGATGATACCTGTATTCAACCTAACTCTCGTGCTAGTGAAATTATTAACGATGATTATGACCATCTCGGTCGTGAGAAAAATGTTGGTGTGAGACCTGAAAATTATGACCATATTACACTAGAGTCTCCCACTCAAATTAGTGAAGCATCGCCTTCGGATCCGCTTGTGGAAAGTCATTATGCTCAAGTTAATGATAGGACTTACGATACCTGTAATGACAGGGGTGCCGAAAAATATCCTAAATTAACTAATCAAGCCGAACCACCTTATAATAAAATAAAGGACGACAAAGATGATGTGTCTTTCAGTGAAGAACAGAATGAGCCGCCTTACAACATGGTTAAGGATGATCCACCATATAATAAAATACAGGACGATGACCCCTATAATCAAATTCTTGACGACACCTATTCAGTGCCGCGGGATGAGGTCATGGAACAGGGGCAGGATCATTACGAACTTGAACCTTTGGATCCTGAAGATCCCTACACAATGGTCGACAATGAAGAACCTAAAGTGAATGGAGAGAGCATGGATCAAGCATCAGGATTCTCTACCTCCAGTGATACATTTAAAACTCCGGGAAGTATGTCAATATCCAAGGAGATGATGAACATGATTAACGAAGGTTTTACGGTTACCGAGTCATCCACCTCTAATGATTATGCTGTGGTAAATAAAGAGCGTAATCCTGGCAACAATCGACAACAGAGCTCACAAGGAGCAACTGCATTTCCTTGTCCTCCCGAGCCTCCACGTGGATATCGAGCAGAAGAGATTCATAATCCTCAATCACCTCCACCTTCAATGTCGACATCAGGATCACGAAGATTCGATGGTGTGTCTGCTCCATCACTCCCTTTACCTACAATTCCACAGTCTGCTCAAAGTAAGTTGGTCTTTCTTGCTACACAGAATGACTAGATTAAATACAACCAGGAATAATTGATGCACATAAATTGAAGATGTTTCTGATATTAGTAAAAAGCAAACTAAGCCTGACTAGTGTGAATATGTACTTGTATTACCAGGAGTGAGAGTGGTTAATAAAGAAAGAGAGAGAGGGAAAAATGGGGTTTAACGTCCACTTGACACAAACTAGGTCATTTCGGGACTAACACATGGTTTAATTTTATTTCAATAATTCGCTTGCGCGTAGGAATCTTTAGCAGTGGGAGAAAACCAGAGGACCCGGAGAAAACCCACAAGGTTGGACAGGCGACCCTACTCCTTGTCACGTACAACCGGGGAATCAAAACCCTGTCAGTTGACTCAATGACAGACCTTGTGATACAGCACGCACGTGCTAACCACCCCCCCCCCCCCCCCCGAAATAAACAACCAGGATTGACAAATCTTAAGGTTCTTTTTTCAACTCAAACCAGGACAGTCTAGTCCATCACTGCTCAACCACCATGGCCCCCTAATCAGACAGCATGTGGTAGTATTTACCTCTTATGATGTTTTGTAATATGATTTCAGGTCGATCTGAACGTCAGTATTCAAAAGTATCAGCAAGAGAATCACTGGCTAGCATGTCAGCCCGTAATGCACTTAATCCATATGAAGATGTTGTAGAAATAGAAAATACTTACGCCACGGTTAGTTTTTTTTTTAACAGTTTACTATTACTGAATTTTTGTGTATGTAACTTTATGTATGCTCTAGAATTATAACGTTCCAAAATGGGAGCTAACTATGCTTACAATAATGTATGAAAATCATGTTTGATGAAATTAAAGTAATGTTATATAAAATTCATGTGAAATGAAATGAAAGTAATAATGTTGAATGAAATTTATGTGAAATGAATTGAAAGTACGGTAATGTTGAATGAAAGTAACGTTGAAATGAAGTTAATGTTGAAATGAAGTTGAAATGAAATCAGATTTCTTAAGTCACGTCTACAAGATTATGTCTTTGTTTAAAAAAGACGTTAGATTCTGATTACCCTTCTTATCTAGTTAACAACTGTTTGGGCAGAAGTATAGTGTAACTATTCAGAAGTGCATAAAGCAACTGATGATAGTTTACATTGCTCGTATTAGTTTCTTGTATTACTGTAGTGTGATTTAATAATATCTTTTTTTACAACTAGGTTGATGGTGGTTCCGGTGATGGGGTTGTTACACATCAAGCTGTAGCTCCGCCCACTTCCTTTCTCCCACCAATCAACAACCGGCATTTTGTAAATCAACCAGCCAGCTCACAATCTTCAAATTTCAGCGAAACTTACGCAGAAATTGGAGCCTCAGGTACAGTACATGTAAAATTTTTGTGTTGCTACTGGGATCTGAGGATATGATGTCTTGCTAGTGTAAAGAGTCATGTATATTTGTCATCACTTACTGTGGTTTCAACACGACCAAGGGGTAACAGTAGTTAGTGTCCTGGTTTCAGTGAGGTATGTCTGGTCAGGGGTGGTGTGACATTGACATGAATGTAAAAGAAAACTTGGAAGTTGGAATTAGAAGACTAGGCAGAAAGGCAGTTGTCTAGGCAAATATTTCCACCCTCTTACCTTGCACACATCAATTATACAGTAGATTGAATAGATGTGAAATGTTATTGTTTTTGATTAAATACAAAACTTATATTTTATTAAAAAATTTGAAACTTTTACATAAATATTTAATTCATAAAATTAAAACTTTGGCCTGAATATTTTCTGCTTTCTCTTTTTACAGGTGGAACTTTCAATTCTATACCCAGTGTTCCCATTCCGCCATCCTTAGATTCACTACATTCCATGAAAAAACATGAGAGGCGTCATCTAGCAACGCCTGAAGATACAACCTTAGACGAAAATACGCCAAAATCTGTTTCACCAAAACGCTCCAGTTTCTCACCCACCACTGCTCTTCCAGTTTTACCCGGTATGTCGACGAGTTTACATGAAAACGATGTGACCCTTGAACCCAATTATCAAAGTGTCAAAGACTCAATAGACGATAACGAGAGTGAAAACGATCCGAATTACGAATCAGTTGATGAAGCAAGATCGAAATTACCAGAGCCCAAAAGACAGAGGAGGCACGTTTACGAAGAGGTCAGTCCAACAAATTCTGAACCTACGTCTCCGAATAATGTCCGGGATCGTGTTTTAAACAGACATACTTACGAGGATATAAGTGATGTAAAAGAAAAAAAGAAAAACATAAAGGGCAAACCAAAAAATGGAAAGAAATAATCATGTGTAAATATTTGTATATATATATGTCTTTTTAACCAAAATTTTACAAAGCTTACAAAATTAACACCTAATATGTTTAAAGGTGTCTGAAAGAGTGGAGAAACTGTTTTTTACTTGGATAGAAAATGTGCTCAAAACAATGAAAACGATCAAGGATTTTGTGTTTTTATGTGAAATAATTTATCAACTTTTTATGATTTATGGTTGTATAATGGACTGGATTTACATGTATAGTATTGAATTGTTTATTTGGACATTTTAAGAAATGGAATGATTTTTATAAGATTTTATATGTGAATGAGAAACACATGACAATTATTAAAACTTGGAGACACAATAGTTTTAAACATTGTTTTAGATGTAGATTGACCTTTAGTATAAACAGGGGTTTGTAAACAACGAGCTGCTAAGTGGTTTTGGTTCTGCTATTCAGTCGTTAAAGGAGCTGAACCTCTTTGAATTAGGTCAAAATTCAGAGTAGGTAACTGGATAATTATAATCATTTTCTATACATGTAGTGCTCAACATTCAGATAATTTGACTGTTCTTTAGGATGAAGAAGTAGGGGACTACTGAAATGGATTTGTCTGTCTGTCCGTCACACTAATTGGAACACAATAATTCTGCCTTGAATTGAGGTGAATGCTTTGATAGAGTTTGATGATGAGCATTTTCTGCTTAGGATAAGTAGAGATAAGCATGTGTATTTTTCGATGCTTTGGGATACAATATCTTTGATTCTAATTCAGTGATATTGACAACAATACCTTGATTAAATAAGTATGAATAGCATTTGATTGGTCGATTAATGAATGTCATCGATTTATTTAGGGATGAGGCCAGGGACATTGGCCTTACTGTTGGGTTGCTTGATTAGTGTTTATGCAAGCTTAATTCAGTTAGTAATGATACAAGATAATGAGACAAGCTTAATTCAGTTAGTGATGAGGCAAGCTTAATTCAGTTTGTGATGAGGATTGTTTTATTTAAAGTCTGAACCTGATCTGTTACTATTAACTTTTGCAGACAATTTTCAACTGAATCCCAAAATTTCCTGTGCGCCTGTTGACAATTCAAAGTTTTTCACATCTGCAATGATTGAATACAGCATAAATTCAATTAAAATTTACGTATTTCAATTGAAAATTTGTGGCATATTGTCTGACGCCACAGATTGATTGCTCAGCTTGACATTTACTTGTCTTGATCACACCAGACCCAATTTTCTCTAATTAAGACTACAACAAATAGTAGTTTGCACACAATTGCATCAATCTATGTTAAATTCTTTACAATGCTGCATTTAATTTTTCTCTTTTAACCAGTTAGACAGCTTAAAGAAATCTCTGTGTGACCTTTGACATTGTATACAACATTTACTCATTTACTAATATTTGTTGTAATCGAAGCAAAAACAATATATACATTGATTGCAAAATGTGGCCCAAGAAGTAAGCCATTCTTCAATACTGAATTATAGGTTTGTTTATATATATACTGTATTACAGTTTTTATATTAATGACCTTTTTACTTACATTTATATATGTACTTACATTGTTTAAACAGATGTGTAATTTATCTCTAACAGCTTCCCTGATTGGCTGATGGCTCGGCTATCCATTAAAGAGACATTATCACTTCTGACAGGAAAGGATATATGTTAGGATAAATTATTTGTCTCAACTCGAACCAGACAATTGGAAATTAAAATAAGACTAGGCTGTAGCGCCCTATTTGGGCAATGTTTCCCACATAGCAGACTGCATGCTGTAGTCTTCCCGTCTTCATTAGCCCGTTTGTTCAGAATGGTAAGATGCTTAACCCAAATTAATGAAGCTTTCTTAAACTATTTTTATTAATAAGGCCCCCTGTATATTTATTTTGTTGTTGAGAGAAATAATGCCTCTTTAATGATGAGCTTGGCTAATCAATGGCCATTTAAGAAAAATGTTTTTGTTTATTTATATATCGTGTATATTATAAGTGCTTTTATTGATGGAAATTATCCGCTATTAATAGATTGTATATAGATTTGTTTTGTATATGAATATCTGATAGAGCAAATCAAAATCTACTTTAAAAAAAACATGTTTATATAAGCTTACTCTGGGAATACCTACAGGAATGATCTACCAGTACTGAAAACGGTATGTCACAATATTTGTTATACTAAAGCTTTATTTATATTGACAGCTCAACATACTTGGCTCGAAACTTGATACATGTATATATACTGCCACTAGAGCATATTACTAACTAACCAGCTCTTCCCACAAAATATAAAGTAAGGATTAAGTGGGGGTGGGGCTAAGTTGAGTTGCGATGTGGTGGGGTCACCTAGGAAAAGAGAGACTGAATTATGTAAAGTAGTTACAATACATATTGTAACTCTGGATACAAAACCCAACTTAAATCTACCCTTGTTGGTGATGAAACAGTTTTCTTTGCAACTTGTAGTGACTAAAACACAACTGTGAAACCACCTTTTCTTTTTGTGCGACCGTGAATCTATGGTTGTTGGCATATAAATTATTGTGAGAATATCTGTAATGTCAAATGAAATCAAGGATTATGATTGGATCTATGACTTGTCATGGTTGATATATTAGAATCTATTGATTGGCACCGCGATTAACTTTTGTATTAAAGTTGAGATTTTAAATGTCAAGCCACAACTGCTCTTTGACTTTTATTTCATTTTACCTAGTCTATGGACACTGATGCTAATGTTGTATCACATCCATATTTTTAGGTTCCGATTTCTTTTGCTACTATAGTTTACCTCACACTCACCAACTTTACACTTAAATTTTAAAGCTTGATCAATCAGGAGAACTTTTATTTGCTCATATTTTGATTTTTCAATTTGCTTATCGCTCAGATGTTGTGAATATTCTCTTTATGTTAATAATTTCCACCATTATCATTTGTTTATCATCATCATCATCATAATCATTGTTATAAATTAATTGTTTATAAAAATATTAATTTCATAAATTATATTAAGTCTACTCTACACTTGTATATGCAATATACATACAATGTTTACTTAGTCAAGCATTTAGGCATACATGTAAGCTATAAGAAGCTACAGCTTCGGGCCTCATAAAATTTCATATTTTTTTTTGGGGGGTGGGGGGGAGGGGGGTAGAACTTTATTTTGTAATCCCTGGTCCTGTTTTGAAACACACCTTTGTAAGATTTTAACAAGTTGCTGCCAGACTTTATGGCCTTATCAAGCCGTAATATAATATATATATATATACATGTATTATTGTATTTATCTTATATTATTAATAATGACATAACCATAATGTATCAGTCTAATCAAAATCACATCTTTATTTCTTTCTGGTTTGAGGGGGGGGGGGGAGGCCGAATGTCTGTCATCGAGTCAAGTGTCGTGCTTTGTTCATTGGCAAGATGAGAAGCCAGGACAAGTCAATTGAAAATAAACTCTTATAAGGCCAAATATAAAAAAAAAATTTTGGTTTTCAGATACTCACGCATATACATGTATCAATTACCTCATAATTTTAGCTCAGTTACAGGAAGCATAAACCACCCTCCTGCATCACCGCGTGTGTTTTCTCTGTGTCCTCCGGTTTCCTCCCACTGCTAAAGACCCCTATGCACAAGCGAAATGACCTAGTTTGTGTCGAGTGGAGGTTAAACACCATTTCTCTCTCTCTCTCTCTCTCGATCTCTCTCTTCCCCCCTGCATCAGAGTTTTTGGAAGGACTGTCTTGAGAACCGGAATAATTTGTTTATATGGCCTAGAGATGTTAGACCTTACTGTAGGGTAAATGTATAAAAACAACCAAACATCAAAAGTAAAAAGAATGGAAAATAAGATCTAGATTTAATTAGACTGATAACATGTTGGCCTGTAATCAAAATCATATATTATAACTATACATATCTCATACATGTATATAAAATTTGATAACATAAACACAATACTTCAGATATTAATGGAAGATTAAAGGAAATGACTGCCATATTTGTAACCCTTTGACTGTCAAGTTCCTGAGCATTTAGCAGATTATACACTCTGTGTGTTCCGGGGACCAAGATGTCTGAGGTCTGGATGTAAACAAGTAACTGTTGTGGCTGCGGAATCAATTACCTTGTGGTAGCAATTATCAGGAAATTCGATGCCTGTTTGGTAAAAAGTGAAGATTTTACTTTCTTGGTTTATCTCGAAAATTCTACCTTGTGTTGTCAATAGTTGTTGTCTTGACCTCAGACATCTTGAATCGTGTTCAAAGGGTTAAGAAAGATTTTTATGTGCTTGCATAATAGAATTAGATTACCCATACAACTGTTCTCAATGATAAACAGTATTTGTTAAATATAGTTACCTTTGTCATACTTTTAAACAAGAAATTAATGCTGTTAAAAAATTATGCAAGCAGTTAATTCTAGTATGCTTACCTGTTCTTTAATGTAAGAACAGTTCCCATATGGTTAAATGGTCGAGAGCGAGACATTAAGTAATATATTGATACTGCACGAGGACCTTAGTTTGAGTGTTGTTTCAATACATTACACAATGTTTTGCTCAAGACCATTAAATAACTTAATATACAGACACTATTCTGGTCACATGCAATTCTTGTTACAGTTGATAATATGGGTAATTTTTTGGCTGCCATTATATATCTAACTTAAAGTGGTGTTATCAATAATAGTTTATGGAAATAGTTGTGTTAATATATTTGATTGGTCAATATTTTTACATCATCTTTGCCCATTCCAAGATTGTTTTTTGACTCGAAACTCAAAATAGTAAATATCTTGTAAAATTGTTAGTCTTGATTATCAAGACTGCAGCCAACCATTACCTATTGCAGTGTAAGGTATAATGAGACTAAAACTGCCAAATTCCTCTAAACTTACTAAATGTATGGATTATCATTATGCCAAAATGTCATATAATCTCATACAGCCTTCTGATATTTTGGTGGGAATGTTATACCATGCAACCAAATCTAAAACCATTTCTTGGGGTTTTGGAAAAATGTGAGTGCTCATAACAGAAAAATTGTAGACCCAGAAATTTATATCTTACCATGCATTTTTCTAGCATAATAATAGAGTGTACTTACAAAATTATGAATTTTTTTTGTTTTAATAAACTGATTTAAAGCTGTGCTTGCAATCAACTGATCAATAAACTTTATTTGTTGTCATATTGGATTTTTGGGGGAGTTTATTTTTTATCAAATGTTGGTAGTTGTATGTCAGGGATCCTGTAGTTTAGCAGGAATGTAACTGGTTTGAATCTGTGCATAAGTGGAGATCCTTGTCAGACAAGTTTACACAGTCATTCAGATGGCGCAAAAAACAAAACAGTTCCACTTGCGTAAAAGAAAAGAATCCATGTCGGTTCGAAATGTAAGATGAGTAGACAGAAACACCACAGTCACAGCACAGTGTCCATAACTTACATATACCAAAATATTGTGTTGACAAGACAGACCCCATTCCAATCCATACGATATGGAGGCATGTGTTAGTCACGAAATTCAAATAAAATTGGTTGGGGCTTTGTGACTTCCTACATGGTTCAAAGTCTCCAATTATGGCGTACATGTATTTACACAGAATATAGAACACCCGATACCACTTCTTTTTGGACAAATTTACTCAGTAAGTTTATCTTCTGTAACCCAGCTCCAAGCCATTGCTCTGATTATTTTATGCAGTCACAGGAGTTATACAAGGGAATGTTTACTCTTGTTTACCGCATTTCTCTTGTCAGTGTCCATAGCATGCGACATGGGCAGCACCAAACAAAGCAACAAATTTTCAAAATGAAGTACAAACTAATATGATTCTAACTGAAACAGTTTTATTTCTTTCAATATTGTTTTTCCTCTGAAAATAGAATATAAAATGTACAAGAGAAAATTTTGTTCATCATAAAATATTAGGCTAAGAAAAGAAAATATACTAAATATAAAATATATACTCTACTAGTACAGAATTATGCTTTCTACTAGTACAGAATTATGCTTAGCAGCTAAACCTCCGACTCGGATCAAAATAATATGTTGATTTTGGACAGACTATAATATGTTTGGTTCTGGCGATTAAGTGGAAGTCAGATTGCTTGCAAAGTTCAGTTTAGATTTTGGCTTATACTGTCCACTTTTGAATACAAAATAAGTGAAACGAATGGAAGCATATTTTAGCTAATACAGACATAAAAATATACCAACATCAGCAACAGTCTTGTGCCTCTGTCTTCAAAAATTTCCTAGTGGACAACATTGCCTCTGCATAAAGTCTATCATTAATTTTGAATAAGATCATATTTGCAATAGCCTGTATTTAATCAACTATTTATTGAGATTCACAGGTTTTTTTTAAAAGATTAAATTAACTTATAGCCTAAACACCATGGATTACAAATTCAAATTTTGATTGTAATCTAAACTACAATAAATACATGTAAATTTATCAAATATTGTATCTATATACGATTCCCAGCAAGTATTATGTTACCATTTATGAATTAAGATTTAAATTTCAAACCAAATTAGAACACAGATCATATCTCATTTCATTACATTAATGTTTCAAACCATTTTCATTGTCTGGATGACTTTAAATAAACTGCATTCTGTTAGATGTTGCAGTGGGGTATTAGCAATGAAATGATGTGTTCAGTCCAGCTTTGTGCAAGTAATAAACATAATTCTGGGAGATTGCTATTGAGTGGGTGAAACCAAATAAATAAAAGTTAAATATTGTCTATAACAATCTGTCAAAATTCACCAATATGACCCCTAATTTACCCCCAGATCTGCATTAGATTTTGGGCAATTTCAATATTGTGTACTTGGGTATAAGTGTGGTTGTAGTATTTCAAAGAAATTAGTATTTTTGATGGGAATTGAACATATATACATGCAAGTTCATGGTTAAAGGTTTAAGACTACACAATATTATTTAAAAACATTTTGGTCGAAAATCTATACAAATCAATCAATTCAAAATCAAACTAAAGTTTACAGTGATAACTATGATTTCATACTGCCATCTTTATGTGTTTTAAGTTAAATTATATCATAATAATAATAATTATCACTTCATACAAACCACATGATTCTTCATATCTGGATATGCTTCATCACATAACAACTACAATATGGACATTAAAATCATACACATTTAATGTATCACAATGAATCGTCCTGCGGTGCCTTTGGAGTTTCATAGCACAAACAAAATTGTAGTCCATAGTGTTGTGTACAAAGAAATAAATGTACAGTAAATAAAACCAGAGTATAAAATATATTTATTTGTCAACAGGCACACTGGGCATCACATCAGTTTATATATTACGTCAATAACTACCGGTAGGTTCATATTTATTATGTGTATATCGAAAATAAAAATTTGCCATAATTATTTAGTATAACAACCATTATTGTCTGAACCACACAGTTTAAAAATATAAATTTAATGAATGCTTTTAGAAACATATTTCATGAATTAATTGTCATTATTAATCAAAACTTTATTTATATTAATTTATGTATCACAATATATGCACTTTAAAATGGATATGAAAGTTAAAACCTTCTCATTTTATTCTAATAAATTCTGATGATTATTAATTAACAGTCAATTATCACACCTTTTAAATGATTGCAGTCTATTTATAATCTTATAGTATATTACAAGCAAACATGCATCAAATTTCAATTTTAAAATTGTATGGCTCTGACAGAGAACACTAAAACTATAAATAATAATTATGTATAAAATAGATCTACATATATAATAAAACAAAAAGAGAGATTTGATACACTGTTTGGCACTATATACTGGTATTAAAAATATAAATAAATAAAAATAAACTGACCAATACCCTGTATATATATATATTATATGTTAATATCACATTATCAACACATTTAGCCACTCTAATTAAAACACATTTATATCTTATTTCATTTACCTTTTGCTTATTGTTCAAATATCGTTTTAGTTATCTTTACCTGATAGAGAGAAGCGATAGATGTAGCTTATAGATAGATATAAAGCTAGCTGAGATTAAAGTGAAAAAAAAAAACCATTGATGACACATAACATGTTCATATAAGGCCAAATAAAAAAAAAAATTTGCATCTCAGATACTCCTGCGTCATGACCTGGTTTTATTTAATAAAAACCTCCCTCCTGCATCAGATTTTTAGTAAGGATTGTCAGAGAACCAGAATATTTTGTTTGTATGGCCTTATTAAGGACATTCTTAATAACTTATCATATTATGTCACTAGTCGGGTTCAAGTAGAGAATAATCCCAAAACACAATAAGTACCATTCGCCCAGTCCCTAGTTTTAATATCATTATATAAAAATAGCCAATCAATAGTATAGACTCAATACACCTATCTTTCTGTAGCATCACAAATTATTTATCTAAACTGGTATTCAAAGCCCAATAAAATCGGATGAAAAGTCTGTGTCTTTGTATTGTTCTTCATACACAAATTATTCAAATAAAATTAGATTTAAAGCCCAATAAAATTCTAAAGAAAAATCGGCAAGTCTATGTGGTCTTCATATACTAATCTCATTAATAAGAAGTATTAGAAGAATGTTAATAAATATCAATTTAAATATTTTCAAATATACACACTGGCCTCATTCTCGGAAACTGGTTGTCTCTTTGCTAGCATACATCTCGAGTCAACATGTCAACAAAAGACCATTATTTCTGAGAAATATTAATTAACCTCTAAAACAGACATATTCCTGGAGATTGACCTTTATATATCCCACGAAAGGTGGTAAATACACGATTCGAAACTAAGAACAACACAATAATAAAAATATAAAAGGTGTCACTAAAATAGATCTATACATAAAAACTGTCATAGATATCACAACTATATAAACATTTCTAGATCTTCATTATCACATTTTCTAGATTGAGACTGCCCCACAAGAAAACAAAGGCAAAAAATTCATCACTAACACAAGAATTTTAATTGTTTTCATTAATTTTATGACTTCGAAAAATTGAATTTCTGTGCCACTGTCGGAGCTGCTTGGCTGAATTTTCTTGTCCAAGTCTATGACGAGTGAAAGTGATCACACTTTTTATGACACACAGTCATGTACATAATATAAAAATAATCTATATTCAGGCACTATACATATACAACATGTAAAACATCAATAATTCTAATGCCGAAATTAGGAATTAAGGTAGTAATTAATGCTTCTAAAGCCAAACAAAAATTAAATGTTTTCTTTGGAATTAAATATCATTTCTCATTTCAATATTATTGGTGTCTAATTTCTTCTGCCATAAATGAGGCTCCATCCCAAAATGATATAAGATTCATATTGATTTAATATTCTGTAAATTTCGGATTTCTAATAATAATCAAGGGTGTAGTGGGGGAGAGGAGGAGTGGGAGCTAGGGGGATGATCTAGTTATATACTGACATTTGAGATTATATCAAACATCATACTGAAATTCTACTTTTGAGCCCCCTTCATGCAAACAGAGAGACAGATAAATGGGGTTTAACATCCACTCAACACAAACTAGGTCATTTTGGGACTAACATTTGTTACAATTTTATCTAAAAATGTGACTGTATATAGCTAGAGGTCTTCAGCAGTGGGAGGAAACCAAAGGACCTGGAGAAAACCCACACACAAGGTTGGACAGGGATAGAAACCATGGTAAATTAGCACTTCCTGAGCTTAAATATAGTACCAAACAAAAATCAAAGTTACTATCAAACCAGCAGATTATTTGATTATTCAGCAGACTAAAGATTATCACAGTATTCAGCTTCACCTTCCATTGGTTAATCTATTTATAGATATGGTCATGTGATGGTCAGGAAAGCTTCAGATTAGTTCCATTTATCACAAGGTCATGGTCACCATTAAAGATGTCACTATGCTGGTCACCAGCCAGCCCTGAAATGCCAATTTGTAAAATAACTATATATATTTGAGACACATTTTTCTCTGAATCTAACAAATAATTTCGATATACTTTTTTGTACCATTTTTCAAACAGGATTTGTCTTTTTCCAACTTGGAGGGTCCGCTTACTATTGCTCAACACTACAGTTACAGAACAAATGTATTCCTTATATTCAGTTGATTCTTTCCCTGTACCTACATGTACAATTTCTAATAGTAGAATTCTGGAATATGGAGTGACTCTATCCAGGTGTTCGCCATGAAAATTCCTGACAGGAAAATCATCTAGTTGTTCAAATGGGATGAAAGACCATGGTTCCAAGTACACCAGTGGCAGATGCAAATCGAAATAAGAGTAGGCCTAGGCCATGGAGCTTCTGTCCGAGTATAAATCTACTCATAGCACACTGCATGGCATATACCCACTCATCTTCATTAGCCAGGTTTAGACAGAAAAATAAGATGCTAAACCTCATTTCAGGTATATAGTGCTTTATATTGCTTCTATAGGCACAATACAATATGTCATAAATGTAAAAAGAAAACCAAGCTTAGATAATGGATAAATTAATTTTTTATGGTTATGTGGAGGCTACAATTATGAGGGGAGAATATATTATCAGCAGCAATTCTGACTACCCTTTTTTGAATATCAACTGGTGCATGCTTGACAATGAATGTACATGAATGATCCTCTTTAATATCTTGCCATCCAACTGACTATGCACACGTTTCTTGTCTGTCCCACAAGTGACATCCTGTCAAGTGGAAACTACATTTGGAAAGTCTTGAAGGTTCCCGCATCAGCCAGGATTTAAATCTGAGACCATGAATCATGACTTACCCAGATGTTTTCGTAGATATCCTAACATTCCTTTAGCACTGGTACCAAATGCCAGTTTAGGGGTAAGACTATATCGAACTCTCATTATGCGAGCTAATACAGGGTTTGCAATGAACTGAAAATCTGATATACTCTGATGACAAGTTCCTCTGAAAATAGATACAAATTATTCTGTAAAAACAAATACTTACATAGCATAACCTTATCAATTTACAAAAACAAACCGTGTCTAGACTTTGCATGAAATAAATTATACTATTTAATGGCTGTTCCTGGCCTGCAGTGATATAGCTTTCATTTAAGAAGAAACAAACTCACAACAAGGGAGGCAACCCAAACACGAAAAAGGGAACATTTTCCAAACACTTTATTTATTATTTTGATGCATATCATGCTTGGCTGTGTATTAGTTCTATTCAATTCATAGAATTGAAGCAATCAATAAATAAAAAGCCTAAAACAAGAAAAATTTCTGATAGTGTAAAAACCATTGTAAGTGTTTGATAAATATATAACAGCATAGGAATGAATGTATTAAATGCAATGCTAGGGCTTTATCCAAAAACTGAGTATGGTTAAAATAAAGCCTACACAGGATCCAGGGTAAAACAACTTATTTGAAACACCACTTTACTATAGTAATTAGTGTCTCAAGGGTAATGCTCACAACCATTGCTTCCACCAATATGTCACACTACTTACCTAACTGTTATCATGGTTTTTGTAAGAAATCGTGACATTTGTTTAACGTTAGCCAACCATTGGAATGTTTCATAATTTATCATTAAAACAGGCTGGGTGACATTTTTATACACTTGTTCATCCAGTGGGTGCATCCAGCCATCTACCACAACACCTGTTCTGTAAAAAAATAAATCTATATTTAAAATCAATCTATTTATTAAGTGTCCTGAAACTTGAATTATTACTGATTTTTTGCAAAGAGCCTTGGACATGATGTTTTCTTCAATAGCTCAGCATTTATCTGTACTTCACTTGATCCATTCCCGTTGAGGGAGGTTGGGTGTAGATCATAATGTCTATCATTGAAAGGGTGTGGTTTTTGGTCCCACATATTATGTGACCTGTCCAACCTCATTGGTTTTCTCTTTTTCTCCCACTGCTAAGGATCCCGATGTCCAAGCGAATTAGTGAAAAAAAATTGAACCATATGTTAGTTACAGTATGACCTAGTTTGTGTTGACTGGGGGTTAAACCCCATTTCTTTCTCTCTATCCACTCACCTTTAAGTTAAAATATAACGGACGGTTGATCCTACTTACTTAAAACGTTTATCTGTAGCTAACGTGCACAGACAGGTGGCGCCACCAAATGAGTGACCAATCACAGAAGCTTTCGAAAGATCTAGGCAATTCTGAAATCATAAAGAATTATTTATCAGTATATCCTCCCAACAGAGCTAAAAAGCTAATTAAGTAAATAGCATTGTTTAATAATTGATTTACTCAAGCTTCTGTAGCTGTATAGAGACTAAATGTCTGGGAATAGAGTTGAGGTATTCAGTACATTGAACATTCTATACTATGATGCATGATATAACATTTTCAACACATCATTTCTTTACTGATTTTATATTTTAACCCTTTTAACTGGAGCATGGGAAGCCATTGCTCCCTCCAGTATACCTTTTGTATTGTGATATTGTAACAGTGTAAATCTTTGATAATAACTAAAGACTGGAACTATCCTTGAAACTATTTATTACCGGAAAACATTAAACATCGTATACGGAGAACAGCACATCCGACAAGCAGAGTAACTGTCCTGGAAACGGGATGAAACCTAGAATGTTTTGTCAATGTACAAATCGGTATTTATAATAAAATGGTATCTTAGGAATTAACAATATACACCAAGGTTACTAATAACAATTAAAGAGGAGAGATTAAACTATACAAGACATTGCAATAAAATAAACAATAAGATAGTAATTAAACTCATTAATGTGTCAGCTGTCAACAATCAGTCATTAGATAAGTAGCTTAACGCCTAATTAACAAGGCAGGATTAATAGAAACATAAGAAAAATAGAAATGTTTAAATGAAAGAATGAATAATGAACGAATGATATATTGAAAGAAGGAAATACCAACAATTCACAATATTATCACCATTATAATTTCCTCTGCGGTGAAAATGATTCGTCCTCGGATCATAATAACATAATAGAAATAAACATTGATAGTACTGCTAAAAATACGGAGGGTTGTTTTAAATGTATGAAGCCTTTTCACTTTAATATACATTTAGTATATATACAAGATAAAGAAATAATGGGGGGGGGGGTAAACAATAATTATTTGGGTTACTCGCTTATGTAGTCACGAAAATAAACTATACCAACATTCGAACAGGAATGTAATAATAAGTCTTATCAGTAAATTATATTTTAATGGGTCTTAATCCACCTTAATTACCCACCATTTATATCTACTTCATATTGTCTTATATATTTCATTAATCACCTGTCTCCAGTATTCTTTGTTTTAAACTTTAAATTGAGCTTATAAATTATAATTAACGTCTACGGGCTATAGCGTTTAGTTACCAGGGTATATTGTTTGTAGATTTATAGGATTAATGCCCTAGGCGATGCATGGGGATATATAGACCCAACTGACAGAATTAGAAAACCAGCGGCTGCCAGGCAGGATACGCCCACATTTTCGAGAGATGGATAGAGAACAAGCTAACAAGAAAGTGATTTTTCCTACAATCAAGGGCCATAATTCAGGAAATTAAAATTCGATATGCGCGAATATCGAAAGGAACTGATATCTTTGTGTTATAAACTTACATTTCAAGTTTCAACAAAATCGGATAAAAATTGTGTCTTCTATAGGGTCCACAACCTTGATATACCATATTTTTACGCTATTTGAGAACGGACGACGGCCATTTCGTCTGTCAATTTTGGTCCGATTTTCACGAAATTCGAACTCAGCCGATTTTTCATACAATCAGGGGCCATAATTCAGGAAGTTATGGTCCGATATGCGCGAATATCGAAAGGAACCGAGATCTTTGGGTTATAAACTTACATTTCCAGTTTCAACAAAATCGGATAAAAATTGTGACTTCTATAGGGTCCACAACCTTGATATACCATATTTTTACGCTATTTGAGAACGAAAGGCGGCCATTTTGTCAATCAATTTTGGGCCGATTTTCACGAAATTCGAACTCAGTCGTCTTTAGGGTGTAACGGTGATATAATAATACGTTTTTTTAAATCGGATAAAAATTATGACCTCTATAGGGTCCACAAGCTAAAAACGTGATTTTTCATACAATCAGGGGCCATAATTCAGGAAGTTACGGTCCGATATGCGCGAATATCGAAAGGAACCGAGATTGTTGGGTTATAAACTTATATTTCAAGTTTCATCAAAATTGAATAAAAATTGTGACCTCTATAGGGTCCACAACCTTGATATACCATATTTTTACGCCATTTGAGACCGAACGGCGGCCATTTTGTCTGTCAATTTTGGGCCGATTTTCACAAAATTCGAACTCAGTCATCCTTAGGGTGTAATGGTGATATAATAATACGTTTTTTTAAATCGGATAAAAATTATGACCTCTATAGGATCCACAAGCTAAAAACGCGTTTTTTTGTACAATCAGGGGCCATAATTCAGAAAGTTACAGTCCGATATGCGTGAATATCGAAAGGAACTGAGATCTTTGGGTTATAAACTTACATTTAAAGTTTCAACAAAATCGAATAAAATTGTGACTTCTATAGGGTCCACAACCTTGATATACCATATTTTTACGCTATTTGAGAATGAAAGGCGGCCATTTTGTCTGTCAATTTTGGGCCGATTTTCACGAAATTCGAACTCAGTCGTCCTCAGGGTGTAACGGTGATATAATAATACGGTTTTCTAAATCGGATAAAAATTATGACCTCTATAGGGTCCACAAGCTAAAAACGCGATTTTTCATACAATCAGGGGCCATAATTCAGGAAGTTATGGTCTGATACACGCCAATATCGAAAGGAACCGAGATCTTTGGGTTATAAACTTACATTTCAAGTTTCAAAAAAATCGGATAAAAGTTGTGACCTCTATAGGGTCCACAACCTTGATATACCATATTTTTACGCTATTTGAGAACGAACGGCGGCCATTTTGTCTGTCAATTTTGGGCCGATTTCCACGAAATTCGAACTCAGCCGTCCTTAGGGTGTAACGGTGATATAATAATAGGTTTTTTTTAAATCGGATAAAAATTATGACTTCCATAGAGTCCACAAGCTAAAAACACGATTTTTTGTACAATCAGGGGCCACAATATGTCATTTGAAAACTTTAATCCTCATATACAGATGTGACGTCATCCTTTGATGTTGGGGTACCATTATTTCAAATGGTACGGACAATGTGCCAAGTGTACATTATTTATACTAGTTGAAATATTGGACCCGCATGACATATTTCATTGAATATCAATATCAATATATTACTTAATGTCTCGCACTCGACCATTAAACTACACATATGGCATAACGGGTGTTTACAGTAAGTCACCTTATTGAGAGATACACAAAGAGCATTATGAACGAATTCTGAATGTAGGAGCCTAAACTGTCACAAATTCTAAATTAATACGTACATACAACAGCCAATAAATGACATTAAATTATTCTGACTATTGGGAGACTCATATTTGCTTTAAATCATTGCATTTAAAATCAAACACATTTAAATGTCTCCAAACAAATGAACACAACAAAGAGAAGTAACAATCGTAATGATCGTAACTTCTGACTATAGAGTGTACAGCTGCAGTGTACTATGTACAGCTGAGTGTACTAGCACTTATTTAAATAAATATAGAAGAAAAAATCAACAAAGGTACACTGACTGGTTTTATATCATGAATAATATACAGACAGTGTGTGTCTCGTCTATATCTAAAGCTATTTTTAACAAGTAAACATTTGTATTTAAGCCAATGCCCAGTAGTCTACCATTATAGACCCCCCCCCCCCCCCCAACAAATAGATAATCGATTTATGAAGGATTTTAGTTAAATCAAACATCATAATGTTTTGAATATTTTATTTCATAATTTAGAAACATTTAAATAGAAAATGGTTGATGCAGATAAACACCATTACATTTCACAAAAAAGTCGGGACCCAAGAAATGTTATGCACTAAAGGATAACTAGTTTATCAACATCTTGGCTTATCACTACTTAGGTTCATAATTGAAAATAAATCACTGGATGGATTAAACATAGATGACATGAATACACGGACTACACTCGTTATTAGAAACAGGTTTAAACATAGATTGATTTGAAATAACTACATTATGTTTTACTAGCTATATGTTATCTAATAAGCAGTACCATTCTCTAATCACTAGTATCAAGCTATATAATAACCAGTAGCACATTATATTAAAACCAGTATTACCCTATCTATTAACCATTTTCACATCTATTGTATTACTCGTATCACCCTATTAACCAGTATTCCCCTGTATCTATTAACCAGTATCACCTTATTTATTAACTAGCATCGCCCTATTAACCAGTATCAACCCCTTTATCAACCAGTATTTGACTTGACATGTATCTACATGTAATAATCAGTATCATGAGTATCAAAATATCCAATAACCAGTATTACCAGTATCACCCTAGACTATTAACCAGTAGCACCCTAGACTATTAACCAGTATCACCCTAGACTATTAACCAGTACATCACCCTAGACTATTAACCAGTAGCACCCCATTTTAATTTTGTACAATAGTATCTTGTTATAATGTTATTATTACCTGTTTTTAATATTAAAAATTATAAACAATTTATTATTCTTGTATTGCCATTTTCCTTTTATTTTAATATTATTTTTTGGTATTGCCAATATCCTTTACATCATATTAAAACAATTAAAGTGCTTAATATTAAAGAAACTTATCTTCTGATCAAAAAATCCACTATTACTAGTATTAAACAATGTGTCAGCACCTAATTTATAAAACAAACATCTCCAAAGCAGTGGCTTAAAAACGTTTTAAAAGGAAATTAATTTTTTTCAGAAAAGAAAGACTGGTTTTTAAATGTATACTTAGATAATATTATCTGGAATAATGATTTATTTATTTTATCAATATAAACCGATATTATCATATTGATGTAGATGTTTTATATATACCGGTAATAAAAATAATCATATTGCAATCACGTAGATGTTGTATATAAAAATAATTACGTAATAGGTGTTATTATCGACTACTGATTAGACAAAGTGATTTGCATTCAATCAAATTTTCATCTTTAATGTCCATCTAATTCAAATCAATTACCCTAATCAAAAATTTATCGACACCGATTTCCAAAGCGATTACCACAAATCGCCAAATCACCTCTGTGTGCGATTTAATCGGGTAATCACATGTTTTTTTGGCAACTATGTCCAGCTTGCTTTATGTGGAAAAGTGAAGTACTCGCAGTAAAAACCACAGTTACTTAAAAGTTCTTTAATGCAGTTCAGAAATTCTATAGCTCAGAGCAATATGTGGTGTGAACTTGATTAGCATTAGTTTATAACTAAGGTGAGAAATAACATTGGGACTACTGTAGATAATAAATCATAATCTATATTAAATGTCTCCCTTCCTGGCCTAAAGGGCTAGATATTTCATTCAAGGTTTATCATTCATTCTATAATTTGATAAATCTAAAGTTATTTTGAATATGATGTTATTCATACAAAATAGTGAGAATAATAATGCCACTTTAAATGTACAGTAATTAGATAAATTCATCAATATTATAGAACTGCATTAGAATTTTCACTCAGTTTTTTTAATGAATGATGGATAATTGGCAATTACCCAACTCATGACATATCTTTGGCAACATTTTTGGATGCAGGGATAATACCACACTGATCGGCAGTGAATATTCACTAAGTCGCTACAATCACTCATGAGCTTGTGATATTGACTTTTTTCCCTCGGCAAATTAAATTCTAGAACATTTTTTTGAAGTAATAGAAAAAGAAATAAAGGTGTTTGAAGTATATCTAGATAAAATATATTTCCTATTTAGTGTAAATGGGTATATAAAATGAGTAAAAGGCGACATTCTGCCTGGACCAGTTCACTCTACAACGTCTTATGTAAACAATGCACGCCCCATGGAGCCAATGATTGACACTTCGTGATCTGACGTCACATAAAGGTCAATCATCTTATACAGAGTTATTATAATTGTCTGCGATATCACCTCGGTGGAAGCGGACGTAAAATACAACTAACCCATACAGAGTTATTAGAAGGCTTTCGTAATAGGTCTGTGAAACAGAGTGGGATAATCCTTGGTGACTGTATAGGAGACAGACCACAATTAATTTCCTGATTGAGTGCAATGATAATTCTGGTCTCTTTGCTTGGTTCCAACTTTCCCCCCAATTTTCGTTCAGCTGAATGCTTTTCACTACAGACAGAGAAACAAATGGTCATGTCTTTACTCCAGATTGTGTATGAGGTTGACCACTAAAATTTTGACATACATGTACATAAACTAGCATACTAAAAACATGTAACTATCTGCCCGACCAACTACTTAACTCTGTTATCCTTCCGCCTCTAAATCATGAATAATCACCAAAACATGGCAGAAAATATTATTTCAAACCCCCCTTCTTCAATTGTAGACTCAAAAAATCAACAAAAATTGCCATGCATATGGGAAAAATAGGGAGAGAGAGAGCGAGAGAACAACTATAAATAAACGAGATGGTGAAATTTAATGGTGGTCTGCTTCCAACATTTTTTGGGGAAGGAGCTCCAGAGTAATTGCTCCTGACTGATACTACTGACCGAATACTAATGATAATATTTAAAGAACCATAAATTCTGGTGTGCATCTTACCTTAAATTGAGAAGTATCAAACACGACACCGAAGACATTATGTATTAACTCTCCCTGATCCATGGCCGTCAATAAATCTAATACTTTACGACATTCTTCTGATCGATGATATATCTATACAAAAAATTAAAAAATGTCTAGAAGAAGGAATTTTAAAATGTCTTTAGATTAGTTTGACCTGGATCAAAAATAAAGTTGTCAATTTCCTTGGATTTTCTAAGCTAACTTGTTTTGTAAAAAGATGCAGGATATAGATCCACATTAAATGTAGAAGTACAAAAAAACCCAAACCCACCTGCCCATTTCGATATTTAAAGTCAAAAATATCTTCTACTTTCTCAAACGGTTTCCAGTCCTCGTTAAATGTGTTTAAATGCTGTAATCGGTGGCGCTGTGGGGTGTCGGGGGGTGGTGGAGTAAACGAGGAGGAGGAGGATGACTCAGGGGAAGAGTGAGAGTCGGTGGAATCCTCTGTATTATTGTTGTTAAAATTATTATTGAAAAATTCTTTTAGTCGTAATGCCATTGACGCTGAACCATCACTATAAAAGAAAAAGAAACCTATAATATAAACATTTTACTTCGAAAATTGTAGCTTTAAACATCTTCACATGTGTTCTCAATTCAAATGAACTGGATCATATCATACTATACTTACGCTGTCTGTCTACAATTAGCTTTGTTTGAGAAAAGACACTAAGCTAGTTGACTGACATCTTAATTCCTAAATCAAAAATTTTAGTCAAATCACTAATTATAGTTGAGAATTTTGAGAAGTATTTATCCCGCTTCCATTTAATTAAATTAAATATGCTTGTTTAGTCTTTGTGTGTATGACAGATGTGAAATGTACTAGAAACATATCACAAAAAAGTACATCAATATTTTGATACGGCAGCCATTCAGGGGAGAGATCTATTCTCAAAGTAGATAGTTCTCTGTGTCCAAAATGGGACCTTATGATGGACATTTTTTCTGGACAGCTGCGTTTCTGCTTATTCTTCATTGAATTCCAACTGTCACAGGTATTTTTAAGTGTAAATATATGGATAGACCTTAGTTATTTGCCCCATCCGAATGATCACTTTTCCATCACCAACACTAGTTATGCTAACGCCTTTAAAGTAGGTGAATACTTTGGAACTTTGAATAATAATAAAACCTTTTTTCTATCAGAAAAAGTGATATAGCCTCTTTAACATATAAAACTCAAATAGTTGTTTAAGTTTAGGTGATAATGGGTTTGGTCTCTTGGTTCTGAAGAGCCTGCTCCTACAAATTGGTGAATTAATGAAATGACTGAATGTGTGGAATTAGACCCCATTCCTTCCTCACTTGTTCCTTTATCATGATGTCAAGAGTCACAGTGACCCCCAATCTTTATTAATGGATTAATTATCAACACTGTATATTAGATGACAGAGACTTGGTAACCTGCCAGACTATTTCTACCTTTCTATGAAATGAATGAATGATATTCAACAAACCAAGTCTGATAGACATGTGTTCTACTTAATATTTCAATACTCAATTACTTTAATGCCCTTCTTTCAAAGTGGCATTAATTAGCTCTTTGGAGATGTTCACCAGACAGTAAAATATAATTTAAAATGTGTCGTGATTAGTCTGTGCATGAAATGGGTTTAACGCTGTACTTTTCTACTCCAACTGGGCCATATGAGTCTAAAATTTTACCTGTTTGGCGTCAAATGTTATATAAATCATTAATTAGACATTTATTCACATGCCAAGTGCATTATAATCAGTGCTCTAGACCATCGGATACTTTTGATTTTCAATGGATTAAACATGATTGCTAGTTATGATTTAATTAAAAACGTAAATTTAATTAATTATGGACTAAAATGTTTTTAAATAAAAGTACTATTAATTGTATATGGTCTTACACATTGTATTTACATGTAATCTTTAATAGTCATATTATTATGTCCATGATGACCATGAATATATTGTTGAAAGTGAGAAAGAAATGGGGTTTAATGTACACTCGACACTAACTAGGTCATTTTGGGACTAACATATAATTCAATTTTATTTCAATTTTTGCAGTGGGGGAAACCTGAAGACCCGGAGAAAATCCATGAGGTTAGACAGGTGACACTACTCTTTGTCATGTACAAGTGGGGAATCTAAACCACAGCACTTGACTCAAAAGACAGATCTTATGATCCAATGCGCATGCATTAACTAATCCCCCCCTCACCTTTTATATAATATAAATTAGAATATGCATTTGATAATCATATAAACTTCTGACAAACTTTTGGTAGTTCATAAAGCCCTTAAATTTGCTGATCGCCTTATACATTTTTTTTTACACCTATTTCACACCTTAATTAATCCTTAAACTGTACATGTCTTAACAGTAGATTATCTTAATGCTTGGATTAGATCAGGTTTATAAACGGCCCATCAATGAATTAATGCTTGCTTGTTTATATTGTCACAAATTTTCAATTTTAGATTAAACTTTCACATTTTATTTTACAAAGGATTTAATAAAAAAAAACAAACAATGATCAGCTACAACTGGAACAGAACTTTTTTCAGTTTTAATTTAATATAAACTCTCTAAAGGTCAGTCTATGTTTATTAGTTGCTCCTGGCAACCAAAACTGTTACAAACAACAACAATAACAATGTCTATGTTCTTTGTTCTTACACCAAATAAGCCCCTCGTTTTACGGACCAATAGCTTGACCTATTTTACTCCAGTCAACAAGCTTATACCCAATAAATCATAATAGTTCTTTAGCAGTTTGTAAGGTAACGAGGCGTAAAGTTATCGATAATCACAACCCTTAACAACAAAATCTGTCAAATCAATAATATTTTCTTATTTATTTTTTTATCACATTACATAATGATATTAACCTGATGTTATAATAATTAGTTTAGATCAGAAATAAACCAGAAATAAATATTAAAGACACTCAAATCTTTTTATATTCTAACCAGCTGATCATAAATCAAGATTATATATATATATTTAATGGATCATAGACATGGTATATTTATAGCAAGCACAGATTAAAGTATTAATACTGGCCTATAGTCAGTTTAATTATTCATAATTTCATTTCATTTCTAACTTCATTTAAATGTGTTAGATCATGAGGTCTGTTATTGAGTCAAGTGGCGTAGTTTTATGACAAGGAATCAGGGTCACATGTCCAACCTCATGGATTTTCTCCAGGTCCTTCATCTTCTTCCCACTGCTAAAGACCCTTACGCACTAGCTACCGTTTTATTGAAACAGACCCCATTTTCTATCTCTCTCTCATTTAAACATGCATTATGCAAGAGCTAAATCTGATTATTGCAAGTCTTAATTTAGGCTTCAGATGTTAAAGAAATTATAAATTAGATCTTTATTTAAACAACAAGACCAAAATCAACTCTGTAGACCCACGGATGGCTCGGCTACAGCTCGGATTTAAATAGGATTTCACTAATTGATTAAATCAAATAAGGGGTAACCTGATGAAAATACGTCAGTTAGATCGAGGCTAAATGATAGAGTGTACTTAGCGAGGAGCTGTAAAGCGTTTCCGTATGCCATTGAAAACTTTACTTGATAATCGAGATATGTAGGTGGAGTTAACGCCTGTCAATCAAACGATCGGCGAAGGTGAAGACGTATTTCGCTACCATTTTTAGTCAAATATTACAACGATGATAACTATGTTCAGAATAAAGTAATTTGACTAAATTTTTCAATATATTCTTCTTTCATCATCTACTTTTGAACTGTTATAGCAAGAATGTATCTTTAAATGTATGTTTGAAATTTCAGTCACCTTAACTGTAGTAATATGCTACACAGATCAATGGTTTTTCTACAAGTGTCTGATTAATTTGGACTAATGTGACTGTCAATAAAATCAGACATAAATGTTGGTTTTGAAAGTGCTTTCTTTCTATGTAAGTAGTACCAATAAAGAGCTCTTGACAGTTGACTTCAAATATGAGCGGACGTAAATACTGCTATCCACACAAATTCTCCTTCCTTGCATTGCACATGTGACATAGTAAATATAAACTAACTCAAAATATGGTAATGAGCTGATGATACATTTAACGCTGATCAATTCAAAATACGGTAATTAGCTGATGATACATTTAACATCATTCAATTTATTTTCCATATTGTATTAGCTAATATAACCATGACTGCTGTTACACGTATTCAGTGGTGGGCAAACTACAGCCTGCAAGCCAAATACGGCCCTTCTACTACATCTGAAAATTTATGAATAATTTTATCTCTAAATGAAATAAAAAATGGAAACTGCTTACTGTTGGGCCCAAATTCTAAACAGGCGTTACTCTCTGTAGGGTCAATAATCTTTGTAGGTCTGTTTATATTTTGCAGCGTCACTCAATGACGTAGCTGCCTAATTGACGTCACTTGACTTGGGCCTACTTTTATTTTACATTATTGTTTGATTTGTTGACATGCTTTGATTTTTCTCCGAATATAACTATGGAGTTGAATAAAAAGTGCAGAAAAAATGCTTTGTTCTGCATTGCTTTATTCAATAAAATGTCATTTTTCATAATCCTTGTTTGGCCCTCACTTTGTTTCAAAACTTTGTGTACGGCCCTTCACCTAAAAAGTTTGCCCACCACTGCTATAGTTGATAAATTAATATACATGTATGTACATTCTATTCAACAATATACTACATTGTATATTATCATATACATTATGGCCAGCTAAGTGAGACCCGACTCAGACTCTGTTCTGGATGAGTCATTAAGTAAAATAAGCACATGCTTAGTGCATTAATTAAATGTGTCGCACCACACAGTTTAGCAGGGCGAAAATAATAAATCTGAAAACAAACCCGATAATAAATGACAAAGAAAAACCATAATGCATACACAACAATTTGAGTAAAGGATTGGTGTTAAGAAATATCTTCAAAAAACAAGATCTGTGGAAATGTTTTTTACAATAAATAACGGTAATCTTTCACGAACATATGACTAATTTATTTGAGCGATGCTTGGTAAAATACATCTAAATATCTCAATCCTTTCATCATAGAGCAGTTGAAAGCAATTATCCAGCTTTTTTCATTCAGATTATTTAGAAAAAGGCAATTTTAATTTAAGCATTTAAGTTTCCTACAGTTTAGTATCGTGTTTAATTTGAATTACATATTTGGAAGTATTGTACGGCAACCATTGTTTGCTTCAATAATTTTTAATCACCCTTTTTCTGAAAATATTGGTGCATATCAACTTCAAAGCTAAACATCTGAACCATTGTATAAGATTGATGCATACATTTTCATATTAATTTAATGGTCTTTAAATCTAAATCTATGCATACTTAATTATCCCTTTATTAATGCAAATAAGTGAACCAATACAACTAATTAACCTATCTCTGTCAATACCAGATGTGCTATTTATATTTCTGGTATTAATATAAAGTACATTTTCAGATGTGCAATTTTCTTTATGGGGTTTTAGAAAGATAGAGGAATGATGGCAGACTAATGTTTTTGGAAATATTAATTTCATCACAGTTAAATTAAGATCTATAAAAGGCCTATGATTTTCATTTTACCTTTTGCTGATCCTCCCAGCATCTACAGATCCCCAAAAGAGCAGACTTAAAACAGATATCTTCAGCTTATCAAACAATATAGTTTTGACCATTTTTTCTCCATTTATCAGCTTCCATTTGGAAATATAATTCTTGGGGAGGAGCAAAAAAATGGCAAATGTTCAGGTAAAACTGATATATTTTCGAATATTAATCACAGATTTTTCAAACAAAAGTGTTATTTTTTGTAAATTTTCGTCCATGATGTCAGAAAGCAAAATCTAAAAACTAGCTCTAGCCTCACGAAATCCTATTGGGTCATGTTTGTGCATGAAGACTTACACTTACCTGTGTTCAATGGCTGCTACAACAAATCCCTGAGAAGCCAGTTCACAACACAATGTAGAGTAGGTGGTACGATTACCTCCGAGACCATGCGATAAAACTATTACAGGGTATTTAATGTTATCCATCTTTAACACAGGAGCTTGTGATAACGCTGGTACATAGACATCATCTGTAAACACATAAAAACAAAATTACAATATACTACAAGCTTATTTTATTTCTGTGTTTATTCAACATGACATGACATATGATATATGTAGTGATGCAGGGTTGGCAACAATCAGCAAACCCTGAAAAAATATCAGTTGGTAACTTTGCTTCTATATAGATAGTGCTGACAGAGGTTTAAGGTTTGATTCCCAACAGACGCAGCTTGATACATGTCTATAAATATTGAAAGAACAGACGGTCCACAGATTAATTACAGATATGTTTGCAGGTTTCCTATCAGATTAATTAAAAGTAGGAAGGGGGTACTGAACATTATTTAGAAGGGAGTGGTCATTCCACCTTTTCCCCCACTGATACCTACCCATATGAAAAGATGCTGAATAAGGGAGGGCAGTTACAATTTACCATTCAAACTTCAGGAAATGCTTATTTTAAAAATGGCGCCTCACTAACCAATGATAAGTAAGTACTGATTTTAAGAATGGTATTTCATTATGGTAACCAATGCTAAGAAAATGTAAGTTCTTGTATAAAAATAATAGCTCAGTATGGTAACTAAGTTGTGACATTCAGAATGGTAATTCAGTATGGTAGCCAATGGTAACTAAGTTGTGATATTAACAATGTTAGCTCAGTATGGTAACCAATGGTAGCTAAATTGTGATAGAATGGTAACTAAGTTGTGATATCAAGAATGGTAGCTCAGTATGGTAACTAATGGTAAATAAGTTGTGATATTAAGAATGGTAGCTCAGTATGGTAACTAATGGCAACTAATTATAAATTGTGATATTAAGAATGGTATACAGTATGGTAACTAAGTACTGATTTTAATAAAGTAAGTGGTGTCTCAATACAGGAATGACAGCTCACTATGATAACTAATGGTAATTAAAGAATTGCATGATAATTATTCAAGCAAATTCTAGAATTAGTAAAAATAACTGTCAACTTACCTACATACCAATTAAAAAATTTGCCAAATGTTTTAATATTTCTCCCTAAAAAATACACATAACCATGACCATATTGTTTTCTTGGTAACCATAGAGGCCATTGTCTATCTCTTTTCTGAAAAAAAGAGAGCAAAATGCTTTGAAGGTATGAATCAAATATAAAAAATCTGCAGTGGCTGGACTTAAAATTGTGATTGATAAATTGACTGTGGTTGTCACAAAAAATCATCCTCTCCTTGGGAGACCAGGGATACGTTGTGGGGTCATGGAAGGATGATCAGGTGCTTGTCCAGCTTGGTGGGGGCATGGGGGGGGGGCAGAACAGAGCTTATTATGTTTTTCCTACATTCATCGAACAAACAAACGTGCGAAAACTTGCCGAGATATTGGCCTCACTCCACGCTAATCCTATACATGAGCAGAAGTATTGTCTCACAGCTTCTGATTTGATAAAATTCTCGGGAATCCCTCAGATCTCATACCAAACATGACATTGTCTCCAACCCAGTCATCTCACCTACTCCCCACTGCTCAAATTCCTGAACACGCCTTATATCAAAGCTATATATTGAACATCTTCATAAATTCTGGGTGGTAGTGTCGTCTTCAATAAAGAATTTCTCTTGTATTAAATGCACTGAATCAGTAGCAAATTTAGCGGGGAGGAAAGTAATAGCTCCCTGTCTCCCAGAAGTCTCTTTGCTCTCGAAAAACATTTTTTGACAGTACCCGATACCACATAAATTTGGTTTTTTTTATATTTAACAACCCTTAAAAGATTTGCACAGTCCCATTGCCCCCTATCTTAGAACGTTCATTTAATATAATATTCAAAGTTTGGATACCCCGATTATATAAATAACATTTAGAATCTGTTTTTTTGTACTTTCAATTACTGTTTTCTAGAACATTTCACAGCTCACATTCTCAGACCTTTAAACAAACAATAAACATCTACACCCCTCTATTCTAAAATAAACTGTTCACTATATTCTCCTGGTACAATGAGGAATAGTCAACTTATAAAAAGAAGGGATGTTAACCTGAACAGCTGTTTCTTCATTTAAATGTTTGCACCTTCATTCCACAAATCAAAATACCATTCACAATCAGACTCCCCAATATTATAAAATGAACTAGTCACAGATATACAAATGCATAGTATTGTAGAATAATCCACCCTGAACCAAAGGGGTGTTTTACCATGTGTTTTTCTGTAAAGATTATGTTTTTCATTCCTAAGATGCTTCGAAATTTTACACCTTTCCCTAAATTTTGCTTATTTATTTAGGACTGAAGTATTGACTTGATTTGATTTCTGTTGGCACCAGCCTATCTGATTCTTGATTAAATTCTAACAAAGAAAACAACACTTGCTGCCAATGAATATTGCCGCCTACTTCCAATTTTTTCTAGGTGATAATTATATAAACACAACTATATAGTAATGTTGAACAGACTATAAAAAGTAATTAGTCTATCAATAAAAAGAAATTGAAGGAATAAAGTTTATCATTTCATCAACACAAGACTTTGGTCATTTTGCGACTGACACAGTTTACTTGGCAAACCTCAGCAGAATCAAGTACCCTACATCTAGCCTTGCCTGTATGACGAAGTCCGCCATTGGAACTACATTCAAGTTCCTGGATTACCAACGGTGTCACCCATGACAATGCCTTTGAAGAATGTTTTATCCTACAAAGTCTGAAGCTGTTTTTCTTTCAAGTTTATCTGATTAAAGGACAACTTTGTACTGAAAATTCTACACTCTTCGAACAACGCAATTTTGAGAACTTTTTTCTAAAAGCGGCAAGTTTTCCTAACAAGTAAATCAGTGCCGCATTGCAATTATATAGGCGTAGGTACTTATCACCTACCGTCATACAGCCGAGGTTAGATGTAGAGTACTGGAATCTGCCAAGGTTTGCCGGGTGTAACACAGTTATTTAGTCTATGGTCACAACTGGGAGAAGAAACATTCCTGAGCCATACACCCCCACCCCATCCCCAGGATTCAAACCAGGAAAATCCTAAGATTGACCGAGCTGCGATGTAAGTGGTGGGTAAGATGCTGGCTAGCTAACATGAGGTCCGTCGTTCGATGCCTGTGTTGGCCTGAAAGTCAATTAGAATTTTCCGGCATGATTCCCCTTTGTCAGATGTACAGGATGGAAGGCTTGGCATAGGACAGCATTTAATCTTTTGGATAGGATAAGAAACACAAGGTCCTGTTGTAGCCTACATATTGGTGTGGATATAAAAAAAAAACTGACAGTAGGCCATAGCATCGTAGTCCGGGCAAAATTTCCTTTAAAGCACACTGCATGGTATATGCTCATCTATATTAGCCCAGTCGGAGCAGAAAAGTAGGACGTTAAACACCATTTCATTTCTAACGTTATTGTCAATGCCTTTTACAATAAACTAAATACTTAAACAAATGTCAAGTTTTAATCTGAATGTGTTATCAGCTACACAGGCTTGACAAAGGACAAGATACCGATTTATAAACAAAAAACAGTGTACCTTTTTGGTACATAGCATATTCATCAAGTTTATTTCACCATATTTGTTTAATACTCTTGTCAGCAAAAAGACTTGAGAACAAGATAATAAATAACTATGTGATCAGCATGAACCTATCCAGTGACTGTGTGGGTGTCATCGAGGTCAAATCTATTAAATCTCTCCCAACACCTTTATTTACATTTCATTAGTTTCACAATATACCTGTACTTAGATTACCTTTATCTATACCTATATTACATGTATATCCACCTACGCTATGTTGGATCAATGGGGGTGGGAAGGAACAGTGGCGTGGATTAAAGGGGGTAGAGGGGGTGACAGCCCAAGGCATCCATTTCATGTTGACTTTTATTTCATCTGTTTTCCATATTTAAATGTCTTCCGTTCTTACATTTCTGACTAATACATGTAGGCACTGGCCCTGGGCATCACTCAACCTCTATATGCCACTGGGAAGGACAGGGGTATTGAATTGACCTCCTCTGTCCTATTGACACACTTAAAGTGACCTTTTAAATTCACAATTTAAAAATAAAACAGACAAGTAGGAAGTAATTACTTTATTACAAATCTAGCTATGAGAAGGTCAATTGTCTCTTTCCCTGTGCTCCCCAAATTTAGCAGGCACTGTGCTTTGATGAAACAAATGCAAAAAAGAAGAAAAATAAAGTACTTGCAAGTGTTGTTTCTTGTGGATCAATCTCAAGAAATAAAACAAGTTTTTAATGCATCAAATTTTTGCACATTGCCTATTTGCGGAATTTGATGGCAATTTTGGAATTAGAGAATGTCTGATCGTGAATGTAAAATAACAAGCTAAAATTTCAGAACAACAATATTTTTAACACAAGCTCTTATTGTCCTATGACCATATGGTCTGTCACTAGTCCATTTTTATAATTTCGATTCCAGGCTTGTGCGTGACAAGGAGTAGATTTCAAGTCTAACATGGTGTGCTTTCTTCAGGTTCTCTGGTTTTCTTCCACTGCTAAAGATCCCTATGCATATAAGTGAATTATTAAAAAAAATTTGTACCACATATGTTAGTCCCGAAATAACCTAGTTTGCATTAAGTTTAAACCTTCACGCTCTATCTCTCTCTTATGATGTAAAATCTTCCCTGGCAGTTGGAATTAGAAAAAGATTAAGTGAAGTAGCAACAACCTGGACAAAATTCTGCTCCCATTGTCTATGCACACATAGAAAATATAAGATTACCAACGTTGAGTCTCAAATGACCAAATTATTATACTGGATCAGTTATATTAAAACAGTATATCTTTGCTTTTCTTCTTACCTTATTTATATTTAATATTTCATTTTTATTTTTATTTTTGGGCGCCATGGTTGTTCAGTGAGTAAAAACGCTGATTCGCTAACCTGGAGGTCCAATGTTCGATCGACGATCACTGCACTGGCCGAGAAAGTTCATCATGATTTCCGATGTGGTTCCTCTCTGTCAGTGGTGAAGAATGGAGGGCCTGGCAAGGGACAACGTATAGTCATTCGAATGGGACGAAAAACTGAGGTCCAGTGTGTACGTAAAAGGACCCTTGGTATTTAAATTTGAAATGCTGTAGCGCCACTGTCTGGGAAAAATTTCACACTGTATGGCATATGCCCGTCTTCATTAGCCATAAGTCGATGCAGAAATGTAGGCCATTTATTTCATTTATTTATGTTTTCTTTATCTGACTGAATTTTATTTACATACAACATCACCATTTATATATAAACATGTAACGATGTATCATACAGTAACTACGTATTTAAGTGTAGTATATCATTATATTGTAATTATTCTGTTTGTTGCACTAATGGGGTATTCAGTGCAATAAATATTTTTAGCTTTGTATTTTGTATGGGACGAAAAACCAAGGTACTGTTTATATCATTAGTAGTAGTATGCTAAAGATCCCCTTACAGTTTCAAATCAAAATAAGAGTATGGTCACTGTCAGGGCAAAAGTTTCAACATGACATTAAAATCATATGATAAATCTAATTTCATCTTTAGCATTTTTAATATTGACATTTCGGCATAATAACTATATTTATAATGCAACATTGTAACATAAAGGTAACATGTGTTGGTTATTTAAAGATTACTGATCATTAATTTGTATATCATATATATATTGGTAAACATGTGCCTTGTGTATAATTTACCTAGCAGTGTTAAACATCAAAGGGATGTAATACAAGCTAACAATATAGACAGGAGTGAAAATGACCAGGTATATATACATGTATATCATACCGTTATAATGAGTAAATGTGATATAATACTTCTAAAAGTTAATTATATACCTCATAATCCCTATGATAACAGGTTTAATTAGAGAGAACATAATCACATGGACTATATGGGGTATTTTTCCATAGTATTCTAATCAGGTGGTTAAATTAAATGAAAAATGTATCCTATCAATATTAAAGTTTCAATTTAGGAGAACATGTACTTAATTAATAAAGGATGCCGCTACATCTATTACAGGTTAATTAAAATATAAAAATTAAAAATACGTACATAAATATCTGATTTTTTGGTCGGATAGAACAATCGAAAGAATACACCTTCTTCTGTATGGTCATTCATAAAATCCACGCATCCAACAGTGTACGGACCTTTCCCCACGGGTAAATGACGGCGAATTTTATTCTTGAATATTTTCTTGGGCGCGGCAGCAGCCTTTCTCGGTTCCTTCGTTATGCTTTCATCCATTTTAATTCCAACTATATACGCTAACTATCTTCCATTCCTAACGTGTTAACAGTGTGGACTTCAATCACTCGCCGTTCCGATTTCACAACTGCTGCCAAGCTCGAAGTTTCCACTGCTTCAGGCCGTCCGTATCTTAACAGCTAACATAATATTTAGTTTCTAGTCATAGGTCACTGGGTTCCCGTTATTCAGCCTTCACATTGCGAAACTCAACCGCCCTTCACCTTTGTTGATGAACGGGAATATAGATTAGCTGCTAGGAAATCTGTTTTTGGTGTCCCATATAATGAAATGAAATGGGGTATAACTTCCTCTATACTGGGCTAATGAAGACGGGCATACAGTGAACTATGAGGGAAATTTTTCCCGGGCAGCGGCACTATATCGAATTCCAACTGCCAAGGGATCTTCTATACGTGCTTACAACGGGACCTCGGTTTTTCGTCCCATCCTGCACTACAGACAAGGGGAACCCACATCGGAAAATCCTGATGAACATTTTCGGCCAATGCAGGGATTGAACACGCGACCTCCAGGCTTCCGAGCCCGCGTCTTACCCACTTAGCTACCATGGCTCCCCTCTATATAATCAAGATATGTACATATTGGTAGGCCTATATCTGATAGGACATTGCAGATATCTTAATGAACAAGAAAATAATTATTTTATCCAACAAATAAATTACATCCAAGATAAAATTAATAGCACGTGAACAATGCCGAGATGGAAAGAGCAAAATGTTAATTTCCATTCACCTTTTGATTCAGCTTAAAGGAGGGATGGGAGTGGAGAGGGGAATTGGTTGTCAAAAATTTTATCTCAATCAAATGTGAATGTCTAGTCGCTCGATCGGATGGTGGGAAACACGAGGTCCCGTCTATTTGTTGGTGTGCACGTGAAATAACCATGGACAGTAGGCCTGAGCGTCGCTCTCCCCGCAAATTTGCGATATGGCGTGTACCCGCCTTCATTATTACTCCAGTTTTGTGAAGAAAAACATTAGGTTAAAACCCAATTCATTTCAGTTTATAAATATAATTTACATGGACAAATACGGGGTTTTCAAGAGGTGTAGGCAGGGCGGAGGTCAAAGGAAGGTGTTAAAGATCTTTTTTTGGTGATTTTTCTGAGAAAACAACCCCGAGAAACTCAGCTAACAAGTACAATTTGTTACATTACAGTTTGTGACATTTTTATTTACGTTTTTGTTACATTGTTTCAGTGGCGCAGCCATGATTCTCATCGATGATTGAAAACACCTAATATTTTTGACATGTTTAGTTTAATAAATACTTCTGAGGTTTTATAACATTTTATAAGACAATTAAAGTTTTTTGAAGAGTGGTATGGACGCTTTAAATGCCCATAGGCTTAGGGACAGCCGAGCGGAGAGATGCGAAAATAATCACATTTAATCTTCCCACTGATCGCCCACGACCCGAGTCTCACTCACAATACCCTCACTGCTCCCACCCCTCCAAAAACCACTACTGTTGGATAACGCTCGAATCAAACGAGATTTCCAACCAAGGTATAGGGGGTAGGGTGGCAGTGTGTTTCCGTTCCGAAAAAGTGCCCTACCTTTTAAAAAAAAGCGCCCTCCATTTTGAAAAAGCGCCCTCCATTTTGAAGAAGTGTCCTCTTCTGAAATAGTGCCCTATCTTCGGAAATATAGTATTCTCCATTCTGAAAAAGTACCTTCGAAATCCGAATAAATTGAAATACTCATGCCATGGAAATGCCCGCGTCGATAACATCATATTCCCATTGTCATAATGCCTTTATTGGGCCTCTTTTCCTGTTGCCATTCCCTTTTTCAAACCAGACCCTATGTGACACTAATAAAAAAAAAACAATCGCACTCTCCTCGCCGCTGGTTTGCTTTCATCTTCAGTGGGGTGTGGCTTGTATTTCTCTGATTTCTTTTTCGATTAGGGTGTGCGACCGTCAACCTGTGCGTGAATCAGTGTGCGTATTTCATGCAACGACGGGGGGGGGGGGGGCTTATGGTCGTAAATGAACTTTCGCCCCCCCTCACATCAGCCATCATCCTCTATAACATACCCCGCTTTTCATAAAACATCCCAGATCCCCCTACTTGGGCGTAGCGTGTGCTTTGAAAACTGTACATACCGAGGCATGTAACTGTGAATTTTGTAAACTGCATGAATACAAATTAATAGACTAGTAGAGCAGGAGCCCAGGGGGTTAACCTAGCTGAAAAGTGTACCAATTTTCTCCTATATGGTATCAATGTATGTATATCTGGTATCATCAGAATGTAAGTCTGCCGGGTTTCTGGTGGTGGGTGTGGTATTCCACGCCCAAAATGCCATGCCCCCCAACTAGTCTAGATTAGCTCAAAAGTGTACCACATGAAAATCGCACAACAATGTACCATACATCTTCAGGTATTACAAAAACACTCTAACAGACATATCCAGTGGTGGGGTACCCCTGACAGAGCTATGTAATTGCCAGACATTTGTAGTGATGGAGTATCCCTGACACGGGAACAGTGCCTGCGAAGCTAGCCTAGTTGGGGGCGTGGCATTTTGGGGCGTGTCTGTTAGGGGTAACCCACCGCACAAACTGTGTGGTAGTGGTCATTCATGACTCCTGTGGTGGTACTGAACAACTCCAAAGCTGTTTTAGGTGGTACAAATTTCAGCTAATCTAGCCTAGCTTTGGTCTGGAAATTAGATAACTCTTGTCAGGGATACTCCATCACTACAAATGTCTGGCAATTACATAGCTCTGTCAAGGGTACTCCACCACTAGAAATGTCTGTCAGAGTGTTTTTGTAAAACCTGAAGATGTACGGTACACTGCAGTAAGATTTTCGTGTGGTACACTTTTGAGCTAATCTAGCCTAGTTGGGGATCATGGCATTTAGGGCGTGGAATACCACACCCACCACCAGAAACCCGACAGACTTACATTCTGATGATACCAGATATACATACATTGATACCATATAGGAGAAAATTGGTACACTTTTCAGCTAGGTTGACCCCCTGGGCTCCCGGTCTATAGGTTGATTTTAAACTGTATACTAGTACGCAACGAAAAGAGATTGCAATATACCAACCAGTGGGGTGATTTTATACTGTTAAACTAGTACTACGTGAATACAGATTGTTGCTAACAAGTTAATGTTCATGTTCAGATCTTCAGGACTTTTAAATCATTAAAATCCCTCAACCAATTGTCAGTGTATGGTATGCCATGGCTCAGATATACGCCAAATCAATTCTAGCATTTGCCACAGAACCAAATTTTTTCTCCTTGATCTGCCTACCCTCCTTCGGAGCCCCCAGCACGCCCCTGGCATTATCAGAGTTAAGCGGAGCCAATCCACAATTTGGAAAATAAATAAATTTTTAATAATTGAAACCCATGGTCAATTCAATTAGGTTTTTTAATGTACAGAATTACATAAAAAGTATATTATTATAGCATTTGCTAATATTTCCCGTTTTAAACACTGGTCCCTATTGGACAGTGACATCTGAAATGAAACACTACTACATAACTCAGATGTCGGGTTGGATGGTCGAATGGTTAGCACGTGCGCGCTGTATTATAAGGCCTGTCTTTGAGTCAACTGGCGTGGTTTCGAATCCCCGGTTGTACGTGACAAGGAGTAGGGTCGCCTGTCCAACCTCGTGGATTTTCCCCGGGTCCTTCGGGTTCCTCTCACTGCTAAAGACCCCTAAGCGCAAGCGAATTATTGAAATAAAATTAAACCATATGTTAGTCCCGAAATGACCTAGTTTGTGTCGAGTGGACGTTAAACCCCAGTTCTCTCTCTCTCTCTCTCTCTCTCTCTCTCAAAATTTAATAATTGCTCGATAGTATATATTTTGTAGCAACTATTTTCTGTCTACTTCTTTCTGTACGCTGCAAGTTTGTGTGTGTGGGGGGGGGGTGGGGTGGGGGGGGCATTGCCAGTTTGATACTGAGACTGCATGCAATTTGTCCAGCGGATAAAACGTACATGAGATTTCAATGCCCCAACAATGACACGTAGTGTGGCAACTATATGTTTTTCATCTTCATTCCCTGCAGCAAAGGACCATCCTTGCAAATAACTATTTAAGGTAATTAAGCGTAACTCAAGTGATCGAATAATAGTCTGGAACCAGGGACGGACTGTCCATATGGGCAATGGGCCGCTGGGCTGAATAGAAAATTGTTAATATCCAAAGGAATTTTAATGACCAATGCGCAGAAAGCAGGCGACGGGTTTCGAGACCAGTTTTAAGAGCCACCCCGCTACCGACTGGATCCACCTTAAACCCCGGTTTTTCGTTCCACCCGAACGATTATATGTTGTTCATTGCAAGGCCCCCTATTCAGCATGGCTGACAAGTAGGAAGGGGGGGGGTGCACGCCGGGATATTCGATGAAATTGCTCGGCAACACCGAGATCGAACACGAGACCTCCTGCTAAGCGAGCGAACGTCTTACTCACTAAGCCACACCAGCTCCCATTGAACTTGAATGTTTTGCAATCGACCCTATGTATACTACAAGTAACACGTTGTCAAATTAGTAATATATGAAAATATATTGGACTTGAAAGTTTTACACCGCGCCATGTGTTACCTTACCAAGTCGAAAATCAATGCTGTCTTCAAGTAAACGACGTATAATAAAATATTCCACGCTTTTTTCTCGCTACGTGGCGCTAATAACAATACGTGTGTATTACACGTTCAGTTAGTAGAAAGCCGGTACAGAAAACACAAGACTGAGATACAAATATTATGAACCGTTTCTTCAGGAACTGAAATATGAACTTTATTGGATAATAATTATATAATTGGTGTGGTTTTACAAATCGCGTGATTTTCTTTTGTGAGAATTTAATCAGAAAGGCGAATAAATTACATTTGAATCAACGCAAACTATCTGTTATCAACTGTGAATTAGTGAGGTTGTCTTTCAAAAGATAGTTTTGAAGACTTTGTTATGTAATTTTGCAAAAAATCTAAATTTTCTTTGAAATTATATGCTTATGTTTTTAAACTATTAAACAAAATGGCGACACTTTTTATTTTAACGTGCTTGATTTTCTTTGGAATGTCGTCTGCTAAAATAGGATTTGTGAAAGATTTAAATATGGATGCCGAGTTCCCGCCACAGATAATCAAATCAAATCGTCGTATTCCAGACGGCCACCTAAGACCATTAGGTAAGAAATGACGAGCTGAATGAATAGAAATGAACGCATCAATGAAATGGGTTTTAATGTCATAGTGTTATGCACCGACTGGGTTAATGAAGACGGTCATACGCCATACAATGTGGGAAATGTTGCTCAGAACTGTCAAGGGTACTTTTACGTGCTTTACAACGTGTACACGAGAGCTCGGTTTTACGTGCCATTCGAACTGTACTGGGCGCTACCCTAAAGCCCAGCTATCGTGTGGAGAGTTAAAAGCTTTCACATTAACGTTATGAAACATGTTGAATATTGTCCAATGGATGGTTATATACATAAGATACTGAAAAAACAAAAACAACTTGAGCAAAACGGATCGCAGTCAAATGGACATTTTATGATATCTTTGCTCATGCTAAATGGATTTGTTTCATTTTAGGATTTCAGGGATCGCCTGTAGGGCCCGTAGAAGATTATGAAGGTATACCCGATGCTAAAGAACTTTATTATGACTATGCTAGCACGTGGAAGCCAGTAGTATTTAGAGATTCTATAACAGAATCACCAATTTTCAACACATGGGAAAAGGATGACTATCTGAAAAAAACGTAAGTTCGACACTATATTGTTAAGGTAGATGGATTTGATATTCGACTGATTAAGTGGAATAAGTTAGGTTTAGTAGTTACTAAACAGTTAGGATGGGCTGGACTATTGGGATAGTTTGGATAGGCTTGGTATGTGTGATATTCAACTATTGGGGTGGTAAGGACTCAGTACTCGACTACTGAGATAGGGGCAGCTGGGTTTGGTTCGGTATTCCACTGTTGGTTGGAGCGTGTCGTCGTACTTTCTAGACTGCGGTGTGTAGGTTGGGTTTAGTACTAGATTGCTAGGCTGGGTGGGTTGGGATGAAAGGTGTTGAGTTCAGTGCTAGGGTGACGTCGGTTAGATTAGGGTTAGTAGTGCCAGACTGCTAGTATGCAGTTAGAAAGGGACGAGACGCGTTGGTTTCGGTACTAGATTGCCAGGATCGAGTGGGGTTGGTTAAGTTGGGCACCAAGCTGCTGGGATGGGATGGAACGCGTTGGTTTAGTGCTAGACTGCTAAGGTGGGATAGGTTAGTTTATGTTAAATACTACACTGGTTAGATTAGGATCACAAAATAAATATACAAATAGTATTCTGTACTGTCTCTGGCATTCGTCTCCTTAAAATGACCCGTTGGATGTTGAGACAACATTTAATACTACCACATTATATCTCATGCACAGAGAACATGTGCCACATCAAATTATGTAGTGGTCACTCACATTCAATGCAGCTTTTAATATTTGAATATTTTAAGCTATTATTCGAAGGATACTGAAATGGTAATTTATTTGATGTATTTTCAACTGGAGGCTATAAATATATATTTTCCTTTAGCTGTGTATAGGCTATAATTATGTAGTGGTCACTCACATTCAATGCAGCTTTTAATATTTGAATATTTTAAGCCATTATTCGAAGGATACTGAAATTGTAATTTATTTGATGTATTTTCAATTCGAGGCTATAAATATATATTTTCCTTTAGCTGTGTATAGGCTATAATTTGAATAGTAGTTCATTTTATTGACTTATTATTAGTAAATAAACAGTATAGTTTTAAATAACTAATGCTAAAACAGATTAGTTTGAATAGCCTTGAAAATCAGCCCGAATTTTAATATCTGTGTGAGAACCTCTTGATGGGGGTAGAACCTGTCCAGTGTCATTCAGTTTTGTTAGGTTAGTTTGTGTTGATTGTTTTTTCCCAATTTATACAGATATGGACATCTGAACATATCCGTTATAACGAGAAAAGGGGCAAAGAAAGATTATTTATATCGTGAAAGACAAACAATGAAGTTGAAGAAATTTTTAGCTGAATATATGTATGAAGATTGGTATTTAGCTGGAACTGTTCCACACGACATGATGCATGAATTACCGGTAAATATAAAATCAATATAATTATAATTAGATTACAATTTCGTTTCGTTTATAATTCTGATTTTTACACTAAATTATAATTTAGTTCAGGCAATCGTTTTCCAAATTGCTTTTTCGCAAAGACCACCCAAATCCATTCCCAGAACTCATTGGAACAAAAATGCCCTGTGTACAAATACAAAGAATTTGAATAGTCAAGACGTTCAGGTGATCTAAAAGCCGACAAAATACGCCAAAAATAAATTAAAAAATAAAACAAAACAAAACAATTAACGTCTGGTTTTAATGAGATTGTCCATTGTTGGTTGCTCTCTAAGTTTGAAAACTTAATAAGTTCAGCGGACTAGGTTATCGTAACTATTATGGCATCCTATTCAACACCGATAAATGCCACCATGGATATGTCACGGACATTTGGGGCTCCTCGTGAAAACCCAAATGAATGTATCATGGACCAATATGGTTTTCAAATTAAGTCCCAATGAAAAACACTCTGATGGGACACATAGTTATTTCACAGGTCAATGATGATAAAATGAATCACACATTATTATTTAATACATATTTCATTCATCCATTCCGTTATTCCATTCTTTTATTTCAGTTACCGAAATGTGTGCAGTGTGGTACTATAGCTAACTATTTACAGGAAGCCGAATTATGGATGTCCAGTGGGGGAACCTCGTCCATGTTACATAGTCATGAAGATCACAACTTGCATTGTGTTCTGTTTGGCAGAAGAGATTTTATACTGATTGAAAATAAATATAAATCAGCTTTCGCTTTTAAGGAGGAAGTAAGATAACCCCTATTCATTAATGAAGCAGGCTGTATTCGAATCATTATTTTGACACTTTGGGTACAAATGTGACTGGCCATTACCCTAAGTTTAGAACGCTGCAATGCACTGAGATAGAAACCATCTTCATGTTGTCAAGAGTGACAAGATACTCATATTTTTGTCACCCAGTTTAGTGTTCACAGATAAAAACTGCGCTGACAATCAGCTGTAAATGTTTGAACTCTCCTTGGATAGAACACTTCGGTAGATTCTTCAATTCTTTAACACACATAAACATACAGCGTATGACAAGCCAGCTACTGCACATAGTAGTTGAATCCTATCTTGCGACTTCATGACCAGTGTACAAATTCATTACATTCAAGGAGAAGTAAACAATAGGGCCAAAGAGGTTACTGCAATATAACGTGAATCTAAATTCATAACAGATTAAACATTATAATAAATGAATAAAATCCATATATTCCCCGTCCAGACTAATTGGCCACTTAATCTTAAAGTTGGTAATTTAAGAAACGGTAAAACAACATCGAATGGCGGGTATTCACATTCTATCAGTAAAATGGAGAAAGATGTGAATGAAGCAAGAATAGGCTTGAAGATGTTCTTGATTATTATATTATTGCATTTTATTTTAATTTCAGTACCCGAATTCAGTAGCTGGTCACTCGCCGTTGGATATGGAAATGATAAACGCCTTAAAATACACTAAGATCGCTGACATACCGTGGACATGGAGTACATTACATCAGGGCGATTGTATATTTATACCTGCAGGTTCGTCAAGTTTCCTGGAAATGGGTGGGGTTGGCGGGTGTTGGGTGCGGGCGAGTGCTCTGAATGCACAGCTGATCAGCAGATCTATACAAAGTCATTAGTTCGTTCACTAGCTTGAACGTAGCAATGGGTAGTTTTGCATGCCTAACCTCGCGGAATTTTTTCCGGGACCTTCAGTTTCTGCTCATGTAAGCGTGTTATTGAAATACGTATATATAGACCAAATGAGAACTCCAAATTAAACAGCTCAAATTATTGCAGACATGCCTCAACACTAACTTAACTGTCTGTTATCTCTGATTCGTCGGCCGCCAAGGTGTTCAGTTTCCTGAATTTCACCTGAGTACGTGATTTCTAGGAAAGGTTTCATTACTTATCGATATTTTTCTAACGTCTAGACGTAGCTACAGTTTGCGCCGCCCGGTCCTTTCATTCCGATGTAAACAGGCGCAATAGCATTGTACATAATTTATGCCGTGACAGGGTTCCCGCGGTCCTTGAAAATCCTTGAATATCCTTAAATTTAAAATTTCATTTTCAAGGTCTTGAATATCCTTGAATTTCGCGGAAATAGGAAAATATCCTTGAATTTCAGTTGAGATCCTTAATTTTGTTTCAAATGTCTTCAATTCCTTTTAAATAGGAGATTATAACGATAGTTGGTAATGTTTTGGTTATTTTTAAGATGAAAAAGTGTAACTTTAGGCTAGAAAATGTCCTTGAAAATCCTTGAATTTGACGTATATTTATCCTTGAATATCCTTGAAAAAATGTTTGACGAAGCCGCGGGAACCCTGCGTGATCAGGTTTGCAGCATCACCTACTCGGAAGAACCTAAAGCGAAAATATAGTATTTAAACTTTAAAGACATAATTTATCAGAATGATCAAGACATGTGCCGTCCCCGTGTACACATTCGAGTTTAATCTGGGTAGTGACCACCAACTCAAGTTCGATTGTAGTTTGTTCTCCGAAAATAGTTACCATCAGCTCAAGGGAAATAACTCATTGGACCATTTGTGTGATGTTTTTCAGGCTATCTTCATCAAGTACGGTCATACGGGAGAAGCATATCCGTAACAATACTTATAACACCCACGCCAGAATTCGATGATGCTGGCTGTAAAAAAAAACAATTTACCAAAATTAAAACTCTTTCTGATGCCGCTTTTATGTGGACTTTTGAAGAAGGAAAACGGGTAAGGCGTAGAAATAGAAATACACAATCCCACTGAGAAGTGTCCACATTATTTTCTCCACATTAAAAGTTATTGTCCTTGCTAAGAATGTTGTTGAAACGATGGAAGTACAATGATTATTGTTTTCTGAATTTGACAAAATCTGCAGTGGACAATTTACGTTGAATTTCACACAAATTGTAGTCCGAATATTTATAACTCTCTCTCTCTCTCTCTCTCTCTCTCTCTCTCTCTCTTCACCCCCTTTAATTCTCCCCTTTTGTGTGGCCATTTGTGTTTATTTTTGGTCTAGAATGGAATAAAAAGGGTTTAAATTAACATTTCCTGCCAGGTTTTAGTTACATATTCATGGTTTAGAAGCGGAAGGATAGCAGAGTTACGATGTTATGTACGGCGATTAGTCAGATATTTTCAGCATGCTACTTAAGTTTGTGTATTTCGAAATTTCTTCGGTCATCCGCATACAAAATCTGTAGCAAAGACATTACCATTTTTGTTGCTTTGTCTGTACAGTAGTGAAACCTGTTCAACACAACGGACATTTCGCGAAAACTGGGAGCCTCACGAAGAGATCAGAAATAACATCGAAGTGCAGGGGAAATAATAATAGTGGTCGGCGACAAGACCGAACACAAATTGGCAACCTATTCGGCTAGCGAGCTATTCGACCGATCCAGCTGGCAACCTATTCAGAATTAAGACAACAGCCGCCCAAACTCATCTATTATTACCAACCAATAAAATCCAACGTTACGTCTAACAAATGAAAGTAGAATAATATATTATTTTTTATCCATTCCTTTAGCTCAGAATAGAGGTGTAATTTCGCATTATCGTACAAAATTCTAGACATCCAACTAAATATATTCCGAAAGGTAATTAAATAGGCTTTCCAAATATTATCAGTAAAAGTTGGCACAGTCATATTAAAGGGGTGCACTCTCTTCCTAAACATGACCAATTTTTTTAAAAATTTTAAAGGGAAAAACTGTAAATAACCCGTGTCAAAATTCGGACCATCGTACAAAATTCTGATGACCCAACTAAATATATTCTAAAAGGTAATTGAATAAGCTTTCTAAATGTCATTAGTAAAAGTTGGCACAATCATATTAAAGGGGCGCGCTCTCAACCTGAACATAGCCAATTTTTCAATTTTTTAAAGTGAAAGAACGGTAATATTCCGAGTCAAAATTCGGACCATCGTACAAAATTCTGAGCAACCAGCTATATATATTCTGAAAGGTAATTGAATAAGCTTTCCAAATATTATTAGTAAAAGATTTTTTTCGAAGTCCAAATTCGAACCATCGTACAAAATTCTTAGCAACCAGCTATATATATTCTGAAAGGGAATTGAATAAGCTTTCCAAATATTATTAGGAAAAGTTGGCACAATCATATTAAAGGGGTGCGCTCTCAACCTGAACATAGCCAATTTTTCAATATTTTAATGTGAAAGAACGGTAATATTCCGAGTCGAAATTCGGACCATCGTACAAAATTCTGAGAAACCAGCTATATATATTCTGAAAGGTAATTGGATAAGCTTTTCAAATATTATTAGTAAAAGTTGGCACAATCATATTAAAGGGGCGCGCTCTCAACCTGAACATAGCCAATTTTTCAATATTTTAAAGTGAAAGAACGGTAATATTCCGAGTCGAAATTCGGACCATCGTACAAAATTCTGAGCTTCCAGCTATATATATTCTGAAAGGTAATTGGATAAGCTTTCCAAATATTATTAGTAAAAGTTGGCACAATCATATTAAAGGGGCGCGCTCTCAACCTGAACATAGTCAATTTTTCAATACATGTATTTTAAAGTGAAAGAACGGTAATATTCCGAGTCAAAATTCGGACCATCGTACATAATTCTGAGCAACCAGCTATATATATTCTGAAAGGTAATTGAATAAGCTTTCCATATATTATTAGAAAAAGTTGGCACAATCATATTAAAGGGGTGCGCTCTCAACCTGAACATAGACAATTTTTCAATATTTTAATGTGAAAGAACGGTAATATTCCGAGTCGAAATTCGGACCATCGTACAAAATTCTGAGCATCCAGCTATATATATTCTGAAAGGTAATTCTATATGTAAAGATAGTCCGGTATTTTTTCGAAGTCCAAATTCGGACTATCGTTCAAAATTCTAAGCATCCAGCTATATATATTCTGAAAGGTAATTGGATAAGCTTTCCAAATATTATTAGTAATTTTTCAATATTCTATATGTAAAGATAGACCGGTATTTTTTTCGAAGTCCAAATTCGAACCATCGTACAAAATTCTGAGCAACCAGCTTATCCAATTTTATTTCAGAATATATATAGCTGGATGCTCAGAATTTTGTACGATGGTCCGGATTTGGACTTCGAAAAAAATACCGGTCTATCTTTACATATAGAATATTGAAAAATTGGCTATGTTAAGGTTGAGAGCGCGCCCCTTTAATATGATTGTGCCAACTTTTACTAATAATATTTGGAAAGCTTATCCAATTACCTTTCAGAATATATATAGCTGGATGCTTAGAATTTTGAACGATAGTCCGAATTTGGACTTCGAAAAAAATACCGGACTATCTTTACATATAGAATTACCTTTCAGAATATATATAGCTGGATGCTCAGAATTTTGTACGATGGTCCGAATTTCGACTCGGAATATTACCGTTCTTTCACATTAAAATATTGAAAAATTGGCTATGTTCAGGTTGAGAGCGCACCCCTTTAATATGATTGTGCCAACTTTTTCTAATAATATATGGAAAGCTTATTCAATTACCTTTCAGAATATATATGGCTGGTTGCTCAGAATTATGTACGATGGTCCGAATTTTGACTCGGAATATTACCGTTCTTTCACTTTAAAATACATGTATTGAAAAATTGACTATGTTCAGGTTGAGAGCGCGCCCCTTTAATATGATTGTGCCAACTTTTACTAATAATATTTGGAAAGCTTATCCAATTACCTTTCAGAATATATATAGCTGGAAGCTCAGAATTTTGTACGATGGTCCGAATTTCGACTCGGAATATTACCGTTCTTTCACTTTAAAATATTGAAAAATTGGCTATGTTCAGGTTGAGAGCGCGCCCCTTTAATATGATTGTGCCAACTTTTACTAATAATATTTGAAAAGCTTATCCAATTACCTTTCAGAATATATATAGCTGGTTTCTCGGAATTTTGTACGATGGTTCGAATTTGGACTTCGAAAAAAATACCGGTCTATCTTTACATATAGAATATTGAAAAATTGGCTATGTTCAGGTTGAGAGCGCGCCCCTTTAATATGATTGTGCCAACTTTTACTAATAATATTTGGAAAGCTTATTCAATTACCTTTCAGAATATATATAGCTGGTTGCTCAGAATTTTGTACGATGGTCCGAATTTTGACTCGGAATATTACCGTTCTTTCAATTTAAAATATTGAAAAATTGGCTATGTTCAGGTTGAGAGCGCGCCCCTTTAATATGATTGTGCCAACTTTTCCTAATAATATTTGGAAAGCTTATTCAATTACCTTTCAGAATATATATAGCTGGTTGCTAAGAATTTTGTACGATGGTTAAATTTGGACTTCGAAAAAATGCCGGTCTATCTTTACATATAGAATATTGAAAAATTGGCTATGTTCAGGTTGAGAGCGCGCCCCTTTAATATGATTGTGCCAACTTTTACTAATAATATTTGGAAAGCTTATTCAATTACCTTTCAGAATATATATAGCTGGTTGCTCAGAATTTTGTACGATGGTCCGAATTTTGACTCGGAATATTACCGTTCTTTCACTTTAAAAAATTGAAAAATTGGCTATGTTCAGGTTGAGAGCGCGCCCCTTTAATATGATTGTGCCAACTTTTACTAATGACATTTAGAAAGCTTATTCAATTACCTTTTAGAATATATTTAGTTGGGTCATCAGAATTTTGTACGATGGTCCGAATTTTGACACGGGTTATTTACAGTTTTTCCCTTTAAAATTTTTAAAAAAATTGGTCATGTTTAGTAAGAGAGTGCACCCCTTTAATATGATTGTGCCAACTTTTACTAATAATATTTGGAAAGCTTATTCAATTACCTTTCAGAATATATATAGCTGGTTGCTCAGAATTTTGTACGATGGTCCAAATTTTGACTCGGAATATTACCTTTCTTTCACATTAAAATATTGAAAAATTGGCTATGTTCAGGTTGAGAGCGCGCCCCTTTAATATGATTGTATTGAAAGCTTATTCAATTACCTTTCAGAATATATATAGCTGGTTGCTCAGAATTTTGTACGATGGTCCGAATTTTGACTCGGAATATTACCTTTCTTTCACTTTAAAAAATTGAAAAATTGGCTATGTTCAGGTTGAGAGCGCGCCCCTTTAATATGATTGTGCCAACTTTTACTAATAATATTTGAAAACTTATCCAATTGCCTTTCAGAATATATATAGCTGGATGCTCAAAATTTTGTACGATGGTTCGAATTTGGACTCGGAATATTACCGTTCTTTCACTTTAAAATATTAAAAAATTGGTGACGTTTAGGATGAGAGCGCACCCCTTTAAGATGATTGTGCCAACTTTTACTAATAATATTTAGAAAGCTTATTCACTTACCTTTCAGAATATATATAGCCGGTTGCTCGGAATTTTGTACGATGGTCCGAATTTGGACTTCGAAAAAAATACCGGTCTATTTTTACATATAGAAAATTGGCGACGTTTAGGATGAGAGCGCACCCCTTTAATATGATTGTGCCAACTTTTACTAATGACATTTAGAAAGTTTATTCAATTACCTTTTAGAATATATTTAGTTGGATCATCAGAATTTTGTACGATGGTCCGAATTTTGACACGGGTTATTAACAGTTTTTCCCTTTAAAATTTTTAAAAAAATTAGTCATGTTTAGGAAGAGAGTGCACCCCTTTAATATGACTGTGCCAACTTTTACTGATAATATTTGGAAAGCCTATTTAATTACCTTTCGGAATATATTTGGTTGGATGTCTAGAATTTTGTACGATAATGCGAAATTACACCTCTATTCTGAGCTAAAGGAATGGATAAAAAATAATATATTATTCTACTTTCATTTGATAGACGTAACGTTGGATTTTATTGGTTGGTAAAAATAGATGAGTTTAGGCGATTGTTGTCTTAATTCTGAATAGGTTGCCAACGAACAGGTTGCCAGCTGGATCGGTCGAATAGCTCGCTAGCCGAATAGGGTTGCCAATTTGTGTTCGGTGCCTCATAATGCAGTTATGTGGTTCTTAACTACACTCGCTTATATATAGGCTAAAAACAATGACCGCTGATGAGAACATAGCTCTTAGTGTTGCAATATTTTGAAAGTACATGGGTTATTTTATTTCCAGGTATTAACCAATTGGAAAATAAATGCTGAAAGTTTAAGATATATATTATTAGCACAGATACGTTCAGAAGATATAATGCCTTTAGAACAGTTTACCATGTTCTATACCGAAGCTATGGTGGTAGTAAGTATTGTTAAATAGGAAATAAAATGAAATCAAATGGGGTTTAACGTCCTGCTGTACGAACTCCGACTGGATTAACAATGACGGGCATACGACATACAGTGTGGTAGGAGGGAAACTGTGCCCGAACAACGGCACTGCCGCCTACTCTTATTTCGAATTCCAACGGAATCTCGAGTTTTTGTCACCTCCGAACGACTTTACGTTGTCCCTTGTCAGTGAGACAGGACGGAGGGTCTGGCAAGGGGAGACCGCACCGGGATTGAAGAAGGAGCGTCCTGGTTAGCGAGCCAACGTTTAACTCACCGAGTCACGGCGGCTCCCTGTTAAATTAGAAAAAAAACACATCACTAGTTTACCATTTTCTGCAAACAGGCTATGGTGGTAGTAATTATTGTTAAACTCATCACTAGTTTACCATGTTCAGTGACATTGTTTGTTATTGCAAATGCAAAAGGCGTTCGCTTTTAACAAACCACAGGGTGTATGAACTTCTCGAATAGATAGATATTATAGATCACATGATCAGGCCATATCTAATACCAATAGTGGTTACATTGATCAATCATATCGTTAGTTATAGCCATCTAATGTTCATATTTTTTTTTTATTTCGTGCCATTATCTTTAAGTGCCTGTTATCATAATCTATCAACGTCTTAATGGTATCTAATTTCCATTCATGGGCATCGAGGACAAGATGGTATTTAACCTAGAACGAACAATCGCCAGTCCATACTTTTGTTGAATTTAAAAAAAGACCGGGCTTTTGGCCTTTGTTGATTGCGTCTTTAAAGAAAACGTTAGGTACCAGACGTCAAACCAGAATGCCCAATTATCTGAATATGACTTCTGCTGTTTATAATCAACGGTGAATGACCTTTGTTTTTTAAAATCTAATTTTAGAGTGAGGAAGACGTTTTACCAGCGGCTACTGTTTTCGCCATGCTTTTTGATGTGGGCAAACGGGAGGCCACCAGAAGGGAGATAACCGAATTATCAACTGAAAAATTAAATCGAGTGGCAGCAGTATTTAATAAACCTTATGAAAAGAGTCCAAGAAAGAAACGAGATCATTTACACGCACATGAAGAATTATAAAAGGAAATGATGTGACCTTCGAATAACCCCAAAACAACCATTCACATCTTATCTTTAGAAATAATAGTCTTTCGGACAGGGCCGTCTTAACAGCATTTATCGGCCCCGGGTAAACCAGAGCATTGGGGCCCCCATCTACGCAACCGCTCAAGAATAAAAATGAAAACACTAAATAAAATTAAATATATATATTTATTGTATTGGTTCTTACAACAAAATCGGTGTTGAAACACCAGTCATTACATACAGAGAATAGCATGGGGGCTTTAATCATGTGTGTGTCATTGCGTTAAGACGTTCCTGCTTTAGGGAGCATTGGTTATTGACCAGGGCCCGGGAGTTAACACGGAGTTAACGGATCGTTAACTTTAAAGCGAAAATTTTATATTTTCTAAGAAAGTCAAAACATAATTATTTCTATATCACTACAATACAACCATAGGAATTTTTCTAGCACGTAAAAACCATTCACCTAAAATTGGAAATAATTTCTACTCGCCGATGGTATTTGGAATTTGTATCATTTCTTTTCACTTGATAACTAAGTCTACACAATGAAAGAGAGACGGTTGACTCGATGGTCAAATTCCGTGGTTTAATAAAATGATAAGCATAATAGTGCATGGTTAATAAAGTTCAAACCTGCACAGGTGATAATAACACCGTAAAAGTCAACGTTGGATTAAATAGAAAACGATATATGTGCCAATTTCTCAACTGACACAAGTGAAGTATAGGATTTAGGATTATTCTTTAACAAGGAAGGACTGTGTGTATAGATGAAATATATTTTAAGGCTTTATTTTAGCATATTTTAAACATATGACTTTAAAAAATACAATTCTCGCTTTAACAGGTCGTTAACTTGCTGTTATATTTAACAAACTTGTTGAGATCCGTTATCGGTTTACCGATGGCATTGTTCGACTGTCATTCGAAGTATACCCTTAGAAAAACTCCTATAGAATGCCAGTGTAGAATATTCTAGGGAGTTCGGTGGTGGTGGGGGGGGGGCGAAATCCCATTTTCTATAGGATGAAATTCTACAGTATTCTACAGAATTTTGGGGACCTGTAGCAAATAACAGCCACAAATATGCTGTAGGTCCTGTAGGGCAAATCTTATAATTTTTCCTACAGATTTATGGTAAAATTTCTATAGGAAAGTACTATATTTTTTCAATAGTGTTTTCTATAGGAAATTCTACAGTTATCTTTTTGTTTTTAATCAATTTTAGTGAACCGACTGCACATTAAATCCCGATCAGTTTGTTCAATTTCTATAAAGTTGTTAAACATGTACATTGAATTTAAAAATTTAAACTTTAGCCATTGACCAAATTGTCTTCTTTTCGATTAACTTTAATCAATCTGTTAGCCAACCGATAATGAAATTAACTTTCCGGCAAGAGAAATTTAACGGACAGTAAACAAACGACACATAAGCAAAATAACAATCTGATTAAAATACAAAACTATATTTCGTTTCGTTTTTTATAAAGACAAGTAAAACGAAATTTTGAACTATAAAAAAACGAAACGAAATAGGATCTGTGTTTTAATCAGATTGGCAAAATAACGGGTCGTTAAAATAACATAGTTTAGAACAACCGGTCCTAGTTCTGTAGGCGCCAATGGCAGATTAAACATTCGCCTAACAGTCTAAACCTAGCCACCCACCCCCACCCCCGCCCATATTTTATATATAGAAGAACTAATCTTTATGAGAAAAAATACCCCGTTCTGATAAACTGTATACTTTCCTTATATAGACACTTTTTTGTTGTACAATAAAAACAATAATAATATAAAAGTATATCGTTTTTATACGCCCACATTTTCATGTGGACGTATATTGTCGTCACCCTGTCCATCCATCCGTCCGTCCGTCCACAATTGTTTGTGAACAATCTACAGGTCACAATTTTTATCCGATTTCAATGAAACTTGAAATATAGGTTTATCACCCTAGGATCTTGGTTCCTTTCGATATTGGCATGTATCAGACTGTAACTTCATGGATTATGGCCCCTGATTGTACGAAAAATCACGTTTTTAGCTTGTGAACACTGTAGAGGTCACAATTTTTATCCGATTTAGTTTAAACTTGAAATGTATGATTATTACCCAAAGATCTCGGTTCCTTTCGATATTCGCGCATATCGGAACGTAACTTCCTGAATTATGGGCCCTGATTATATATACGAAAAATCACGTTTTTAGCTTGTGGACCCTATAGACCCTATAATTTTTATCCGATTTAAAAAAAAGTATTATTATATCACCGTTAAAACCTAAGGACGGCTGAGTTCGAATTTCGTGAAAATCGGCCCAAAACTGACAGACAAAATGGCCGCCGTTCGTTCTGAAATAGCGTAAAAATATGGTATATCAAGGTTGTGGACCCTATAGAGGTCATAATTTTTATCCGATTTTGTTGAAACTTGAAATGTATGATTATAACCCAAAGATCTCGGTTCCTGTCGATATTCGCGCATATCGGAACGTAACTTCCTGAATTATGGCCCCTGATTGTACGAAAAATCGCGTTTTTCGCTTGTGGACCCTATAGAGGTCACAATTTTTATCCGATTTAAAAAAACGTATTATTATATCACCGTTAAACCCTAAGGATGGCTGAGTTCGAATTTCGTGAAAATCGGCCCAAAACTGAAAGACAAAATGGCCGCCGTTCGTTCTCAAATAGCGTAAAAATATGGTATATCAAAGTTGTGGACCCTATAGAGGTCATAATTTTTATCCGATTTTGTTGAAACTTGAAATATAAGTTTATAACCCAAAGATCTTGGTTCTTTTAGATATTCGCGCATATCGGACCGTAACTTCCTGAATTATGGCCCCTGATTGTACGATAAATTGCGTTTTTAGCTTGTGGACCCTATAGAGGTCATAATTTTTATCCGATTTAAAAAACCTTATTATTATATCACCGTTACACCCTAAGGACGGCTGGGTTCGAATTTCGTGAAAATCGGCCCAAAACTGACAGACAAAATGGCCGCCGTTCGTTCTCAAATAGCGTCAAAATATGGTATATCAAGGTTGTGGACCCTATAGAGGTCACAATATTTATCCGATTTTGTTGAAACTTGAAAAGTAAGTTTATAACACAAAGATCTCGGTTCCTTTCGATATTCGCGCATATCGTAAGGTAACTTCCTGAATTATGGCCCCTGGTTGTACGAAAAATTGCGTTTTTAGCTTGAGGACCCTATAGAGGTCATAATTTTTATCCGATTTTAAGAAAAACGTATTATTATATCACTGTTACACCTTAAGGACGGCTGAGTTCGAATTTCGTGACAGACATAATGGCCACACCTCGCTCTCAAATAGCGTTAAAATATGGTATATCAAGGTTGTGGACCCTATAGAGGTCACAATTTTTATCCGATTTTGTTGAAACTTGAAATGTAAGTTTATAACCAAAAGATCTCGGTTCTTTTCGATATTCGCGCATATCGGACTGTAACTTCCTGAATTATGGCCCCTGGTTGTACGAAAAATCACTTTATTTTTAGCTTGTTCTCTATCCATCTCTCGAAAATGTGGCTGTAGCCTGCCTGGCAGCCCCTGGTTGTTTTGTTAATGAAGACATAAATAAAATATAGCTGACGCGGATATAATGGTATATTTTTTTTCGACTTATCCATTGTAAATGAAATGAACTGACATGAGGTTTAAAGGATCTAAGTCGTTAATATTTGGGATCTAGAAATTGACACAAATGGGTCGCAAGGCATATAATAATGTAATATGAATGTATATAAACTGATTTACATTCAATCTTTTCCATTTTTACTCTAATTTCAAATCAGTTATGTTCGGCGAAATACGCCAGAAGTCTCAATCGAATGGCAATCTCTAGCGTCTGGTTATTCCAGACTACATCGATAGTATTATTGTGCATGCTCTCCAGATAAGAATATGCTGTCACCGTTTGATATAACTTGTGGAATATGTCTAGCCTCGTTCTTCGAGTCCCTTGTTACAAATGGCGCTGAAATGCAATCGCGTACCAATGGTAAAATGATTATTTTGTCTTAAATATTGGATATCCAATCATTTCCCGGTAAGATCATAACATCAATGTTCATTTAAATAGACAAATAATTCGTGTTTTCAATGTCGAAGATTTTGGATGGTATTCAACTGGCTCTGGGCCCTTATTCACGAAAACTTAAACTAAGATACAATCGAAATTTTAAGAAATACTGCAATTCGATTGGCTGACCAGTAAAATCAATTTGCATATATCCAATTTGCATATTGGTCAGCCAATCGAATTGCAGTATTTCTTAAAATTTCGATTGTATCTTAGTTTAAGTTTTCGTGAATAAGCCTACGTCATTCGGCCCCTATAAGAGAGAGAGAGAGAGCGGGCCTAGAAAAATTTTAGACATCATGTAGATTCTTTAGTCTTAGACACCGCCTGGGTTCCTTAATAACAGTAGCTAGTCCAGTGTCAAACAAACTAACCCCTTGACAATCGAGGCTTACAAAGATATGTGGCCGGGGTCTTTCTACACGTTTCAAATGAACAAAGAAACACATATCCTACAAGACAAATAAAAAGAAATAAAATGCAATGAAGTGGGGTTTAACGTCCCACTGTTCTGCTCCGACTGGGCTAATGAGAGAGAGAAATGGGGTTTAACGTCCACTCGAAACAAACTAGGTCATTTCGGGACTAACATATCGTTCAATTTTAATAATTCGCTTCTGCGTAGGGGGTCTTTAGCAGTGGGGGGATACTGGAGGACCTGGAGAAAACCCACGAGGCTGGACAGGCGAACCTACTCCTTGTCACGTACAACCGGGGAATCGAAACATCGCCAGTTTACTCAATGACAGGTATTACGATACAGCGCGCGCTAATCATTCAGCCATCAAATCTCCCGTCTGGGCTAATGAAGAGGGCACACACACAGACGTTGGGTGGCTTTCTCTACATGTATAGCAAATTCCAACTGCCAAGGGATCTTTTAACCGGGACCTCGGGTTTACGTCCAATCCGAACGAGTATATGTTGTCCCTTGTTAGGCCTTCCGGCCTGCACCACTGACAAATGGAACCACGGCGGAAAATCCCGATGGACATTCTCGGCCAACGCATGGATCAAACACGGGACCTCTAGGTTAGCGAGCCAACGTCTTACTCACTGAGCCACTGC